GTCTGAAGCTGCTGAAGTCCTTGGGGTGCGGAGTCTTGGGCACAGGTACCACGCAGGATGTCTTCCACAGCTGTGGTACTCTCCCCAGCCTCAGGCTCAGGTTGAAGATGGTTTCAACTATCCTGCACAGTTGGTCTGCGCAGGACTTCAGGAGCCTGGAGCTGATGCCGTCTGGACCCGCAGCCTTCCTCGTCTTTATCTTCCTCAGCTGATCTCTCACCTGACAGGTAATGAAGGACAGTGGGTGGGGGTGATGAGATGTCCGGGGGAGCGGGGGTGGGGGAGGTGTCGAAGCAGTGTGCCAGGAGAGTAGGTGGGGGGGAAGGTGAAGGTGAGGATGAGGGGGGTTGCAGCTGTGATGTCTGGGCCAGTTGAGGGGCAGACTGATCAAATCTACTGAAGAACAGATTCAGATCATTCACCCACTGCTGGTCGCCTCTGGCCTGGGAGTCTGGTTGTTTGTGTCCTGAGATGGTTTTCAGACCTCTCCAGACTTGCTCTGCTGCAGCTGTTCCTCTATCTTCTTTCTTCAATCTCCATGAAAAACCACTGGAGCTCAGCTACAGGTCTAACAGGTTCTAACAAGGCCTTTTTACCCTTATTTACCCTTTGGCTGGGCAGCTAGCTCTAAGATTCCTGGTTGATCCAAACTTCTACCATGTAAGAATGTTGGAGGTCACTGTGCTCTTAGGAATCTTCAATGCAGCAGAAATTTTAAGCCATCCCCAGACCTACAGGTGCCTTGACACAATCCTGTCTTTGAGCTTTGCAGACAGGTCTTTCAACCTCATGGGTCCAAATAAAATTATGGCCATTCAATTGAATTGACCAGGGGTAGAGTCCAATTGAGGCTTGTGCACACAAGACAACAACCACAGAAATAGTTTTATGGATGTAACCGTACCCTGCTGACCTGCTAGTGGTTGAGGACCAAAAGTAAGCTTTGATTTTGTTAGCTGAGTACATAGGTCTTCATTTAGGTATGGCGAGGTATGACAGCTGCCATACCTTGGAATCGGGAGGGAAAAAAAGAGAGAGGTTCTGTAGTCATCTTACTTGTGTCATGGATGTATTAAAAGACGTGTGTGTGAAACAGTGCACTGTTGAGGCGCACTGGCTGGTTGTTTTCATTGTATTGCACTTAAATAGGTCAATAATATGCTCATCAGTGAATACGAGTGTTAGTGGATCAAATTGTTCGCCACTTCACTCCACTATGAGTTATGTGAGTTATCTGTGTGTTGTAAAAGCATTTTGCTCTGCTGCTGTAGACAGCCTGTCTAAATGATGTCTTGAAGCCCGTCTGATTGTATGTGGGGGTTTTTTCTTCATGTTGCCATGTTAAGCTTGTATTTTCGGTCTCTGGAGACACTCCAATAAATTTGCCTATACAGTATTGTACCAAATTGGCCTTTGTTTTACTGTGTTTCATACACCAGACCCCTTGGTTATCTTCTAGAAATGAGCTTGTAATTAATTTATTTTCTTTATTTTCTGTGAAGTTAAACACATGACTAATGATAATTAAACGTCCGCTCGTTGTCCGTGGTGCTGAAATATGCGCCGAAATAGGTCCGATGTTTTCACTGCTCTCACCAAGTCGTGCATTACATGCAGACATGAGGTATTATGAATGTGAGAAACAGCTTCATGTCCTTTGAAACAGTTTTCAATAGCATAGTATGTACTTCTGACAGGTCAAAGACCAAAGTGAAGTTTTATATAAGTTCATATTTTTGAAACTCCATTATCAGTAGCTCTGTGACGTCATGTCATATTGGCATACCTTAGCTTTTGCTGAAACGACGCCCCTGGCTGAGTAATGGACCAGTGTCTAGATTCATGGAGGTAAATGCTGTGCTGTGTAATAGTCAGGAAGGAGAAACACAGACCCAGGTATGATTATATCAACCTTACATTCAAAACATTGTAAAAAATAAAATAAAATGAAGTTTACAACTTGGCAGCCGGCATCTCTATGAAAAGAAAATACATTTTCTTGAGCCCATCAACATCAACATTTCAACTCAATTGGGATATCAAAGTGCAATAAAGTTCAACTTCAGTTCAGAGTTCAGTTCAGGTTCTTTCAGTCAAGTTGTATAGTTTTGTCAGATGGATCCTTTAAGTTTAGTCAAAGAGTTTATTGAAGTTCCTGTAAGTGTCTATTGTTCTTCTGGGTTATTCAAAGTTCCAGTCAGTGTCTTTTGATCTTCTGGGTGCACCCTATTTGTAATAAGTCTACATCATGGATCGTGTCGTGTCAGATCCTACAACACTGGTGAACTTGTGCAAGGAAGAAGGAAGAAGGAATGGATGAGTTCCCTCTCTGCTGAATGAAGCAATCAGATTTCCCAGTTGCTTGCCATCCCCCTTGGTTCCAGTTTCCAGAATCCAAGAAAGTTTCCAGTGGTATCAAAAACCTAGCCTGCATTACAATATAAAACCCTTATTGTTTACAGTCATAACATTTCAATCACTTATGGCCCTGTGTCAGATTAATTCTATTTTCTCAGAAAAAGTTATTACTATATGACATAGTCCTGTAATAGCAATAGCTTCAACTCACATCACTTCATGTAATGTTTTTAATCCATATTAAATGAATTATGAATTGTTTTTAGCTTTTTAACCATGAAATTATGATTACTGAATCTTTTAACCATTAATTGTGATTACAAATCTTAAACGATGAATTCTTATATGATTGTTTTTAAATCATGAACTGAAATACAATTCAAAATGAATTCTCTTACACTTTAAAATCTGTATTGAGTTTATAGATTTTATCTTCACGTTTTAACATTTTCTCACACTCTTCATGAACACTGTTTATAACCAACCTTGTTTAATAGGATAACAATGATATTAAATTTATTCAAAAATACCAAATTAATTACAAAATAAACAATACAGCTATGGTTCACACTAATTTTGGGACTTGCTTCTTCCCTCCTAAAGTATTGCATTACTGCGTGATTTGGCCAATAACAATTAAATAATCTTGACAGGCAAATAAATCAATCACATAACTTACAACAATACAGTTTGGTGAACCAGCAAGTAATATGAGAATAAAATAATGAATAAATCTTAAATTAAATTATTTTTTAATAAAATAGGAAACTCTGGGCCGAATTCACAAAGAATGAACTGCGGCCGCTGATAGCACCTTGAATTGCACTTCACTTGCACCCGCAGTTTGCTCCGTCTTAACGTCCTATCCACAAAGGATATTGCGCTAATGATATACCAGTGCAAACATGCCCGCAAAGTTTGGCAGCTGAATGCAGTTTGCCCCTGATTTGCCCCTGATTGCAATAAGCCACACATGGCAAAGTATAAATGCTGGCTTTGTGCCAAGAACACCGTGGCAGAACAATGGCAGACTTTGTTTGGCAAAGTACTGAATACTGTAAACCCTCATGTAGTGATGTCTGCTGGTGAGTCAGTCTAACAGTGTCGGATGGGTTGAGGCTGTGGATTTGACCAAGTTTGACCACTTTATCACTATTCCCTCTCACTTGTAGCTGTTTTTTCATTATCTTTTGAATTTAATATGAATTATGGAACCGTTTTTGTTCACGTTTGTTTCCCCCGTTTCGTAAAATAAATTATTGAAAGTTGCTTTTGAAGTGCGTGACAGAAGTGGGTTTTGAGAACAACCGCAGACTGTCACCTGTTCAACGCATCAATATCTTTGGATGTCATTAAAGTAATAATGATTATAATATTAATGTCAAAATATTATTTACAGATTGATTTAACAGACGATCACTGCTGCCACGATCACTGGAAAGTCTGGGTGAGAGGCTTCCACAGAGGAGCGCCCAGTTTGCACCAGCTTTCTAAAGATGTTATTTACTTCACTCAAACTGCGTGTGGCTATTAGCGCTGGTGTTAGTGAATTACACGTTGTTTATCAATGAGGCTCATTTGCATAGAAAGGGGCAATTTTTGTGCCATATGCATATTACGTCATTTAAATACGTGCAAATAACACCGGAGCACCGAGACGCAATCTACTTGGCAGCGCAGTTAGTGGAGCATTTCACCCTCTGCACGTGCTTTGTGAATTAGATGGTATCTGTTTGCTCCATTTTTACCGGTTTAGCGGCCGCAAAAGCCACGCAATCCTTTTGTGAATTCGGCCCTCTGTTTCTACTTGGTTACATGGACGTTTGTAGGTTCCTTCAGTTCAAACACAAAAATTGTGCAAAATTGTGCACTGTGCTACCATTTCGGCATGCATGCAAGCGTAAATTAACTTTTGATCCATGTTTGTCACTTATCACTCATGATTGGTTTAAAATAAACATCTTTATGTCCACAGAGACACAACTGGAGAAGTTATTAGAAGATCTGGGGCTGGAGCAGCACTACACAGAGAAGCTATCCCTGAGCACAGTACTTCAGATTGACGAGAGGACCATTACTGATGAACCTGCCAAGTGCCATTCAGATCTTCCATGGTATTTTCTGAAGAAACTGATGATGGTTAATGTGACAGCTAGGAATGTGAAATGTACATCTGCATGTGGGTCAAACTGTGATGATCCATCAGGGAATACAGAGTTAGATCTTGATAATCTGGTCAGCAGCACAAATTCAGGTGACATGTTAAACCCCCTTGACATAATCACTGCTCTCTTTCTGTGATCTGATGATTTTGTACAACAGGAAATGGCACTCAAAATGTCTATGTGTCAGATTTCTGTGCCTCTGTTGCTTCCCAAATGTGACACAAAGCAGTGCACACTCATGCTTTGGGCCATGAGAGAAATAGTTAAAAAGTACAGACCTCAATCACTTTCAGAGTCCAAAGGCTTCATTGAACAAAGAATTGTTATCTCTGAACTTCCAATGATATCTTTTGTGAGACTGGGTGAGTGCTCCCTGTCCAAGTCAGAGATCCTCAATAAGCTTCTGAGCAATTCTCAGCAGTACCATGATACATTTGTTCACTGTAACATGGAGTGTGGTGACAGTCCAAGGAGAATATCCAATGGACTGGTTGAAATGACTTGGTACCTTCCTTGTGGGAACAAAAACATGGATATTTTCAGTGAGCCAGTAGCTGTAGCTAACCTTCGTGGAGAAATTGCCTCATTTAAAACACAATTTTCTTTTTTGTGTCAGACATCAGCAGCAGTTTTTGTGTTCTTTGACAATTTGGACTCTGAGTGTGAGCTGCTCACCAACCAACACCACAAGGCACAGATCTTTTTGGTAGGTAACCATCAATTCAATCACTCCAGTAAAGATGCTCTTAAAAAGGTAACAACCAAGTTGTGCTTGATGAAAAGTAACTTACTTTTAAAGACTAAGCAGATGAATGATGCAGACTTTGTCAAAAATTTGAGAAAAACAGTCAACAATGTAGTTGAGAACTCAAAGATGAAGATGCGAATTGAGCAGATGGCTGATATTGCTCATGAACTGGGAATCTGGGTTGATGAAGACTCTTCAGAGTGCCAGAGTGCCAAGAAAAATGCAGATGCTCTGAGTGAAGAAATTCAAGACATCTTTAAATACAAAGACACTCAGCTACCCTTGCAAGGCCAAATATGGAAGGAACTGACTCGCTTAGAGAAGGAACAATTTCGACTTCGAAATGTTGGGTCCCAGAACATAGAAAAATACAAAAGTGACCTTGAGATACAGAAAACAGAACTTAGGGATAAACAGAACTCTTGTGACATGTCAAATGCAATGACATGTTTTATCAACGCAATAACAAGACCAGGGATAGAGAGGTGCTATTTCCTGAAATGGATGCGAATGAACCTCGATAACATATCTCGAGGAAAACTGTCCGGCCTCCGAGAGCAGTACAAAGAAAAATGCAAAAATTCTGAGAACAAAGAGGAGATCAAAGAAATTGACAGACAACTCTGCAACAGCTCACTGGGGACTGAACACTTCTTCCGTGAAATGGGTCAGATCTATGAGACTTCACTGTCTCATCAAGAAACAAACCCATCACGAAAACAGTTACAACATCTGCCCAAACTATGTGCAGAATTGTTACTTGATGGATTTCCCCTTGAGCTTGTAGATGGAGATGCCTCCAACATACCTCTCAGATGGGTGAGTGACGTCCTCTCTCAGCTCAATGGCTTGGTGTCTCCTAAGAACAAGATACTGGTGGTCACAGTTCTTGGAGTTCAGAGCACAGGAAAGTCTACTCTCCTCAACACCATGTTTGGAGTGCAGTTTGCAGTCAGCAGTGGGCGATGCACTCGAGGTGCCTTTATGTTGCTCATCAGAATCAATGAAGATGTTCAAAAAGTCCTCAATTGTGACTTCATGGTGATCATTGACACTGAGGGCTTAAAGTCACCAGAGCTTGCACAACTGGATAATAGCCATGAGCACGACAATGAGCTTGCAACACTTGTTGTGGGGCTGAGTGATATCACCATCATCAATATCGCAATGGAGAATTCAACTGAAATGAAAGACATCCTACAAATAGTTGTGCATGCTTTTCTCAGGATGACAGAGGTGGGCAAAAAGCCCAAATGTCAGTTTGTCCACCAGAATGTGTCGGATGTTTCAGCTCATGAGAAGAACTTACGAGACAGGAAACTGCTCTTGCAGCAGTTAAATGAGATGACCCAGGCAGCAGCCAAAATGGAAAAGAAAGAGGAGAACATGAGCTTCACTGATGTGATGGAGTACAGTCCAGACACTGGGAACTGGTACATTCCTGGACTCTGGAATGGAAACCCACCAATGGCACCAGTCAATGCAGGGTACAGCGAAGCTGTATATGAGCTCAAGAAAAATGTCATCCAAATTTTGGGACGTTGTGAGTCATCAGCTAATAATATCTGGAAGTTTACAGAGTGGATGAAAAACCTGTGGAATGCAGTAAAGCATGAAAACTTCATCTTCAGCTTCAGAAACAGACTGGTGGCTGATGCATACATGAGGCTGTGCACAGAATTCAACAAATGGGAATGGGAATTCAAAAAAGAAATGTACACATGGGTTACAAATGCTGAGACAAGAATTTCCAATTTTGGCATGTGTGTGGAATCTGAGATACCTGACATGACAGATTTTCTCACTCGTTTGAAAAGTGAAGTGTGCACAGTGCTGACGAAATGGGAGACAAAGCTTCTTGACAATTTGTCACAGTACTTCAAGCAAACAGAGGGTCACGTCTATCTAGTTGAAGGATACAGAGAAGACTTTGCAAACAGTGCAAAGACCCTTCGACGAGAAATGGAGAGCTCTGTGTTTAATCAACTCACAGCAACAGCTGACATCAGACAGGGAATGACAGAACTTAATAGAATCAAAGAAAACCACACAAAAGAATTAGAGGGCAGAGTGTGTGCACTGATTGAACAATGTCGGAAGAAAAATGTGGAGATGACAGATGAAGAGCTCGACAAAGAATTTGATAAGATGTGGAACAAAACAGAGAAGGAACTAAACTTCTCAGAAATAAATGTCAAGGACATATACACCAGTGTGTCTTACCACCTGAGAACAAATCTATCACACAAGGGAAGTCATTCATGTGAATTGTTAAGTGAAAAGAGGCTGGAAGATTGTGGACTTGTGCCTTTTAAATATACAGCTGAAGGATTCTACAACCGATTTAAAGAGAAAATGAGCAATATTTTCCTCAATCCAGGTCACACTAAGGCTGTACAACAAATTGCTGACAGTATCATAGCAGATTGCACACACTTTGTCAGTGCAATACTGGAAAGAAAAAGCAATTACCATGACACTTACATCCAGGAGATTTTAAAGAAGATTGATGAGAGGCTGCAAAACAATAAGGAAGTGAAGCCCGACACTGCGTTTGAAGTTTCTCTGAAACAGCACATCTGTGGAGATGCAGCCAGACAGTTTCAGATCATGCATGAAGATTTCATATATGAGAATGATCCCTACAGGTGTCTGAATGAAAACAAAGAAAGGTTTCGCACTGATTTTAAAGACTTGTTCCATGAACGAGACCAGTGCCAGAAGAAGGCAGAAGAATTCACAAACAGCTGCCTGAAGCCTGCAGTAAAAGACTTTGTCAAGCGTTCCTTGGGTCCTGATATCATTGGTGAAATGATGACAAGCCAGCAGTTCAGCACACGAATGTTCTTCCAGTATACAATTTTACTGGATTTGCTCACAAAGAATGACTTTGATGAATATTTAGACTATATTCTCTCATATGAGCCTTATGCAAGGAAACAGATTGTCGACCAAATAGTAAAACGCTTCTCAAAAGGGTCTACCATGTTTGAGCTTGAGGATAAACATGTTCAGTCAAGCATCAGGAACATAACTAATGCTATCAACAGAGCTAAAACAAAAAAGAATGGCAGCTTGAAGACATTTGTTGAAGATATCTGTCAGGAACTTGGTGATAAACTGGTCATTCCTCAGGATGCTCTTGGTGCTTTCATGATCCTGATTAATGCCGACCCGGAGCAGTTTGCTTACTGGCTCACAAAGTGTGTGAATGAGATGGCACCACCTCTTCGAGAAAAGTTTAAAAACACAAGCATCGACAATAAACTATTAAATGTTCATGTGAAGCCTCACGAGGAGCTTTTCACTAAACTGATTGGATGTGGTAAACACTGTCCATTCTGCACAGCGCCTTGTGAGGCAGAAGGAAAAGAACACACTGAGCACTGGTCATCACTACATCGGCCACAGGGTCTGGGTGAATTCAGTTGGTACTGGGGAAATGAACTTATCACTGACATATGCTCTTCCTTGGTGAACAGTAGGAAACGTTTCTGCTGCAGTGTTACTAAAGGTAAATGGCACCGTTACAAGCACTACAAAGAAATTTTCCCAGACTGGAAAATTGCTCCAGATGCAAGCCTTCAGGCATCAGACTACTGGAGATATGTGATGACAAAGTTCAACGAAGAATTTGCCAAAGAATACAAAGCAAATCCTGCTGATATTCCTAAAGCTTGGAGAAATATCACATGTGAGCAGGCAGAAAAGAGTCTCAAAGAGTCATTTAACATCAAGTGAGAGACTACTTACATTGCCCTCACTTGCTTTAAGTGCACACAGGTATGTGTTCTCCTTACTTGTTTTATATGACATAGACGGGAATCACAAATAGTTTAGGGGTAAGATGACAAGGTTGAAGATATTGTCAGTACACTGGTATTTTACCACAGCAGCTTGTAACACGAACACTGGAGAAAAACATTGCATTTAGTGCTCACCTTTACCTGAGATTGCGATTTTTGTGTTTAATAAAAACACTCTGCTTCAACTCTGTTTTATGTTGATGAGGACACTTAAAAATACTTTATGAAATTTTGAGTCAGTGAACATGTTAGGCAGCACATGTTAGAAACACACAAAATGTTTTTGAGTTAAATCAGAATTTATGATGTTTTTGTGACAGATGAATGTTGTACTGTAAATGAAATGACACAGAGTTAATCAAATACGATATGATATGTTATCTTTTAGTGAAAGTTTTTGTTTCTGTGCAGTCTTTATGTGGTATTGTCATAACAAGACAGAATATTTTACCTGATTAAGTATGGTATGTGATTGTTCATGCAAAGTTAGATTCTCTGAAGTATTGTATTTGTGCAGTATCTGCTGCAAAATATTTACATTTCCAATGTATTAAAAGATTATTCAATCTAAATGTCAGTATTAAGGTTTTCATGGCAAAGTTTTTTTCTTATCTAACCGAGTAAACTATGTTATTTTCTCAACTCAAAATTTTACATGCCTTACCAAGATTTTTATACTTATTTCAATCAGTACCTATTGGAAAGCCAGAGCAGTATTTTCAGGAATGGGATAAAGTCATCTCCAGATTTGTTTGGGCAGGGAAGAAACCTAGAGTAAAATTTAAAAGTTTGCAATTAGCAAAGGAGAGGGGAGGGTTAGCCCTCCCATGTTTAAAGGACTATTATAGAGCAGCTCAAATTCGACCACTAATCGGTAGGTGTAAACCCAGCTATAGCTCAAGATGGAAAGAAATAGAAACTTCAATGGGCAGAGGAATACCAATCAATATGTTAGTCGGAGATCCTTCATTAGCAGCCAACCATCTTACAGATCCCAATAATCCCTGGATAACGAGTGCTTTAAAAACATGGAATAGTATAATAAGCAGGCACCAATTGGAAGGCAGGGTTGAAATTTTTAAATGGTTTGCTTACGACCCAGTCTTTAGACTGGGCACATATGATACCAGATTCAATGCTGGACAGAAAATGGGCTTACTGCGTATTGTACACTTCTAAATCAGGGTAAGGTTTCAAGCTTCCAGGACCTAAAAGACAACTTCAAGCTTCAAAATCCGGACCATTTCAGATATCTACAAATCAGAGATTTTTTGGAAAGAAATTTCTAAAGGATAACTAAATTCAAATGGGACATGAAATACTTGACATTTTTCAAAAGGCCTATAGAGATGCCAAATATGAAAAAATAATATCAAAATTATATGTAGCTTTACAAAATCTTAAAGTAGACGACACTTTGGCTGTCAAAGCAAGATGGGAAGCAGAGGGCAATATTACAATAACACAGGAAGAATGCAACAGGATCTGTAAATAGCAATGGCGAACAACATGTTCTCTCTTCTGGAGAGAATTTAGTTGGAAGAACATGTCTCGATTCTTCTCTACTCCAGCGCAAAAGACTGGCTATTCCAATCAGACATCAGATCATGGGGCAATGTAGTAGCTAACCACTTTCATATTTTCTGGAATTGCCCCTCTGTAGCTCCATTTTGGAGAGCTGTCTACGGTGTCCTGGAAGCAGCCTTTAAGAAGAAGGTCAAACTCAATTTCAAAACCATGTACCTTGGTGATCTAGAAGAGCTTCGCTGGGGAAAGCCAGATAACTATCTGATTCGAGTGTTATTGGTTGCTTTTAAAAAAACCTTGACTAAAAAGTGGCTGAAAACGGAAGCTTCAATTCAATTTTTATTTATAAAGCCCAATATCACAAATCACAATTTGCCTCACAGGGCTTTACAGCATATCCCTCTGTCCTTAGGACCCTCACAGTGGATAAGGAAAAATTCCCCAAAAAAACCTTTAATGGGGAAAAAAATGGTAGAAACCTCAGGAAGAGCAACTGAGTAGGGATCCCTCTTCCAGGACGACAGATGTGCAATAGATGTCGTACAGAACAGATCAACATGATAAATTAACAGTAATCCGTATGACACAGTGAGACAGAAAGAGAGAGAGACAGAGAGAGAGAGAGACAGAGAGAGAGAGATGCAGGACAGACGGTAATAACAGTAGCTTACAACAACATTAATGAAAGTAATAATATTATAATTATAGTTCTGGCTACTGTGGTACAATATGTTGAAAGTATATATTAATATCTGATAGTATACATATGTGACAATAATCATATGTGTATAATAACAGTAGAAGTATGACTAATGATAACAGCAGCAGCAGGAGGCATCTGGCAGGACCACGGCAGCAGCACAACCACACACGTCACGCTGTCCAGGCACCGCTGCAATAAGTGCCAACTATTAATGAGTGGATTGATATAGTTTATAACATATACACAATGGAAAGAATTACATTCAAACTAAGAAATCAAGTATATCTTTGAAGAATATTGGTTCAAATGACTTGCTCATGTGTCAACTATAAGGCCTGACTTTGTATATCTATGCAAAGACTGTTTGTGAATATGTAAATTGAATTCCATTTTGCTGTTCGTTCCCCCCACCCCTCTCTCTCCTGACTGTAGACTTGAGAATGTAAAATGTAATTCTAAGAAACAAAAGATATAAGTGCACACGAACGTTGAAGTACAATGCCAGATATACAAAACACAGACCCTCCAGATCCTCCCCAGGATGTTTGTTCTTATGTTGTTTAGTTTATTGTTTTATCCCCCTCCTTGTTGGAGTGTGTCTCTTTTCATTTGTATGATTAGGCCTACCTTAAATGAAAACTCAATAAAAAGTAAATGACCAAAAAAAAAAAAAAATTACATGTCTTTCAGTTAAGTCCTAATAGTACATTTTTACGTGTATGTGATCTTTTCATCTAAATTTAGAATGTTTGTGTTTGTTTCTGTGAAGTATCTGATGCCACATATTTGCATTTTAACCAATTATAAGATCATTCAGTCTATATTTGGTATTGTCAACATGTAGTCCACTGTATGCATGACTGTATTTACATGCAAGTTTATTTTAAGTATATCAAGTATATGTAATCTTTTTTTCACTCTGAATTCAGAATCTCTGTTTATTTGTTTTTGTTTCAGTTAAGTATCTGATTCTACATCTCTAGAAATAGCATTGATTTTATTGTCAACATTTATACATGACAGAGACTTTGTTTTAAGCATGTGGTCTTTCTTTAACTCTGAATTGAAAATGTAATGCAATATATTGCAATCTGAAGGAATTTAAAAGACCAGTCATTCTATAGTCAATTTGGTATTGTCATCATGAATACATTATTTACTTATGTTAACTGTTTCAATAAAGAGACAAAATGGCAGACTGGTTATATTCTTTAATGTTTCAACTCATGTCTTGGGCTTCTGAATTCAATAAAGAATGGAACAAGATTGAGGGTGCGTTTAGGCGCAGAGCGAGTACTGCCACTAAAATTCACCGTGTTTTCTGTCTGAACACATGCTAAGAACTTGCAGCCATGCTTGCAGCTCTGGGAGGCTGTCCTCAGGCATGGTGGTGCTTTTGTCAGCATGCTAACATACTCACAATGAATACGTTTATATGCACACTAATATTCCACTATTACAATATTCTGAATTTGATGAGGTTCATGTAAACAGCACGCTTTGTTCTTTTTCCAGTCTTTTTCTGAATTTAGCATTTTTCAATGAAGACGTGGGATGTGCCGGTATTATTCGGATTTTAATAGCATTATTTGGATATATAAACAGCCCATTTGGAATATGCATCTCAATTGGGGTTTTTACCACAGTTTGCGACAAACGGCCTCTTACCTGTTTGTGGTTAGCTTTTTGTGTTATATTGGAGACGTACACAAACCAACTTGCCAGCAGTTTGCAAGGCTGCATGCCCAAATGTAAAGCCAACATTTCTGGTTGTAAGGAGAAACACACCTACTTTTAAAGATCATGAAAGACTTGGGTATCAACAAGTTTTTGGATATGCGCAAATATCGTAACACTAACCTTTTCAATAAGGTGGTTAAAGGAAAGAAAGAGGGAGGCTGTGTTCACACGGTCCAACAAGTCTGCCACAGGTAAGAATTTTTATTTTTATTTTTTTTTGAAAATCCTATTTTGATGCAGAGTAGCAAAATGATGATTAAGCTGCTCCAGCTGTTTCACTGTTCTATATGCACAGCATGTAAGCAGGAGTATCAGTAAACTACTCACTTTAATTAGCTATGTAAACAGCTTAGTGGGAATATTGGGTTTTTTTTGGAATAAGAGCAAAAAAATGAATATTTTGTGCATGAAAACGTTTCCACTGACAGTGCTGCTACAACATGTTGATGCAGCACCATCGCTACGTACACCTTTGTGTCAGGCATCAGGCGCCGGAGATCAATCACAACTACAAGAGGCACCATTAGACCATTATAGGCAATATGATATACATAATTGCTCGAAACAATAAAGGTATTATGCGTCAGCTTCATTAAAAGATGCAGATTGTGTCTTCCTGTCTGCTTATGCCATGCAGCGCTCTCTCACTCTCCCTTGTTGACCAAAATTTCACTTCCCTGTCTTATTCTGTGGATTGCTGCAAGGGAGTCCATTTGGAACCAAAGGCCATACTTTCTATAAAATTAAAGATGACTTATTCACTTTTGGATAGTAAGTTGCCAAAATACACAAATTTGACATTAAATCAAAAAATGTAGAGTAGTTTAAAGTATAATGAAACAGTGGATTTCATATTGTCTAATATATGCAGGTAGAACTAAAATGTGGAAAGTTTGTGGAAATGTGAGTTTTTGAGATGCTTCTAACTATGAGTACCTTGAAAGTCATGCTATGATTGACTATATATTCCTCTTGGATAAATACTGTGGCAGTGTTTTAAAAGAATGGTTTGATGTTCAGTCTGGTTTGCCGTGTTTTGATCGAGACAGTGTATATAAAAACAACTATTTGCCTAATTTTTTAATGTAGGTGTGTTGCTGTGTTAAGAGTTCAGAACAAGTATGTCAAATATAAGTAAATGCTTGTTTGCAGCTGTTAAAAAGAAAACCCAGGCTCCAATCAATACCCCATTTTATTGCTTACAGGGTATAATATGATTTGACAAAACAACTTAGTTTCAGATAGGCTATATTTTAACTTCAAGAACCCCAAACCTTTTCACAGTGGTAAAGTAAATTTCTAACACAGGTTTAACTTGAATTATAACAGAGATCACACCTGTTTTATCTCAGTTATCTGGCACACAGTCATTATAGAATATCTGGAAGTTCTTATCAACATCCATCCTCCCTTTGAGAAACTTCTCCAGGTTCTTGAGAGGAACTTCCACCATGTGGTTGTTGACACGATCGTTCAGCCCATAAGCTGCAAACACAGGGAACTTGTAGCGCACAAAGTATGGAGCATTTTGGTCAAACTCGGTGCAGCAGTAGGCCGACCACATGTACTCCGGTACAGCCACCCGGTCCAGGTTGTTGCGACGGATTGTGTGCCCGGAGGTGGTGACCCCGGTGACAACGAAGGCTTTGCCGCGGCAGTAGTTGTTGAGACGTTTGCGAATGAGGTCCTGGTGTTCTGTCCAGGGACCAATGTTGAACTCCCTGAACTGGGGTACCACATTGGTCAAGCTGTAGGTGGAGGCTTTGTCCATAGGGTCTGCCTGATGCTCGTCAGGGTTTAGCTGGCCACGTTCGTACTGAACCACATCAGCGTAGTCCTCCAGGACTGCCTGGGTGTCCTCAAAGTTCATATGCATGCTTGAAGATTGGGGGAAGGGCTCCATGTTACTGCTGCTCTTTTCTGAGGCCAGCTATGGGGGGAAAGCGAGAAGGAGAAGCACAATGTTGTTGAACATGTAGCTGACAGGTTTCTTACCTCTGAAAAGCTTAAAATAATTCATTCAATAATTCATTGTCATTCAGAGACTTTTTCACATTCAGACAATTTGCCACATTCATAAAAAACATTTGCAAATGACAAATTTGCATAACTACGTACCAGAGAATAAATGGTCAAGGCAGCACTATCTCATTGAAATGCCAGTCATAGCCAATAAAATAGCTTATCTCAGGCTTACTTTATTGCCAGCAGCAACAGTAACATAGTGGCCCAAGCGTACTACACCACTTGCTGGGTTGAATATATGAAGCAATTGTGTTTTTTATATTCTTGATAAATGTGTACAAATAGGTGTCGTATGATATTAGCTATGATATGGCACAATACAGAAGTCTTTGCACTCAAGTCCCAAGTCAAGTCCCAAGTCCTAAACTTTGAGTTTTGAGTCCTAAACAAGTCTTCACCAAAGGTACAGCCAAAAACAGCATCTTAAATTTCCAAAAATCATGAATGCTTTTAAAAATCTTTATTTGTTTGTTACAAGTGTGTTAGAAGTTTCTGCATCTCTGTCTGTAATTTTCAACCGGCATGTTTTGCATAGAGTTCAAAGCCTTTTTTGATTTTGTCAAGTAAAATCTAAAGTCATCAAATTTGTGACTCAAGTATTATCTAGTATACTGCAGTGATACTCAGTTTGGCCTGTGGGCCAACCCTAACCCAACCATTTTGTAATTCACAATAAATAAAAATGATTCACACTGGGATTTTTTGTACTTTCAATGTAAATAAGGTGCAAGACAATATAAAAAAGCATCAACATACTGTAGGGCTTGTTTATTTTATTTAAAAAGAAATGCCAGGGGAAGATCCTTCAGAACCCCTGACAGAGGTCCAAGGTAAGTCCCAAATGTCCTCAAATCCTAGAAATGTCCCTGTGTACACCTGACCTATGCAATGCTGCTGCAACCTGCCCCTTGCCTCCTGTCATGTTTTTAAAAGTGGCCCCAGGGCAAAGCAAGTTGAGTACCCCTGGTATACTGCATCTATATTCACAAACAATCTACAATGGATTTGGGTTGAAACTCAGACTTCAAGTAAATTCAGACTAACTTTAGGACTTGCAAAGACTTGCTTGAAAGAACACTTACCTGAGGCTCAAACATCCATGGGAAGTCCACCTTCTTCTCCCCATCTGACTTCTTGAATGTATAGGCAGAATAGACGGGGATATGTTTGTGGGGGTCATACAACGTGATGTACCGGGGTTTATCCTCGTACCTCTGGCAGATCTTCGTAAAAGAGTTGCTGAGGTACCCTCGAGGTGGAGTGCCCATGTACAGAGAGTCCTTACAGCGCTCCACATGGTTGAAGTCCCCCACCACTCCTGCCTGGGCCCCCTGGAGCAACACACAGGTCAGCATGGCGACGACAGCTGTCAGGGGTAAGGCACAGTTCTCTGATGTACGTGTCATCATGGAAGCTCTCTTTCCGTCAATCTTACGCCCTTTTAGACCTCTCTAAGTCTGCTCGTATGTGCCTTTCTCACCTGTAACACACCACTGCATGTACAGCCTCTGTCACAGCCACAGCCACCCTACTCATCATTTCCCTTCTTGAGTCATCTGTACTTTGAGCAAACTGGTCTCCCATTGTAAAATCCATATATCCTTTTCCATATATGCAAAGTTCCACAAGTGTTGTAGCAGTCATTTAAAAGCAGTGAATGTTATCTATCATGGAGAGCATTTTATTACTGTGAACAGCAGAGGAAAAATGACGCTGACTTGATACTCTAGTGCACAACTAGCTTTAGTAATTACATTTTGCATTCAGTTTAATTTTTTCATTTTTACTTTTTGTGTTGAGACGGAGGGTTACAGAGTGAGAGTGAAAGAGAATGTAAAAAATACAGGTCAGGGAGAAATGTGTTAAGTGTTAGAGAAGAAGATCAAATCGATCTCCTCTTCTTTTCTCCTCCAGTTTCATACAACAGTTCTTTTTATTTGAATGCAAAGCAGCCATCTGTTTCAGCTATGGCTTAGGGGAGTAAAAAACAAAACTATAGGATCTCAATTTCCAGACCATCCTCAGCCCTTTAAGTTCATTTTCTTCATTTCACTTCGTCTGAATATTTTTGATCTAGAGTAGGGCAGCTGTGACTCAGGAGGTACAGTGGGTCTTCCACTAAAAAGGAGATTGTTGGTTCAACCCCTGGCTCTTCCAGTCCGCATGTTGAAGAACCCTTGGGGAAGATGGTGAACGCAGCCACTGGGAGCTGTGTGTGAATGTCCTACCTTATATGGTAGCCTTGGCTATCATAAATGTGTGTGAATGGGTAATTGTGACAAGTACTGTAAAAGCACTTTGAGTGGTCAGACGACAAGAAAGGCACTATAAAAGTGCGGGTCCTTTTACCATTAGGGTCTGTGTTAAATGTCTTGAGGTGAATTATAATGCTGGTGCTGTAATATAGTATGTGATTGTTTCATGTTGGGCACTAGGAGAAAGAAAAGGCAAAGGGCATAAAATCCATCACAAAAGAGGAAGTAGGCTTACAGTTTTCATGTAAATGTGCTTTTGTAGATGATAATAAGCAATATTTATATCACAGAAATGTTCTTGAATGTGTCAAAATAAAGCTTCAAACACATGTTGATTACAGTTTGCAATGGTTTATTACTGCAAATTAGAACAAGCAGGTCGATTTTGTTACATTTTTTCAACATCCAGTTATGTTTGAATGTAGTGTTCAAATTACAGTAAGAGCATCGCTAAAGAATGCAGTCTCTACGTGTTTACAAACTCCATTGTTGAGCTCTTTCAATAGACCTTTGTCACAGGAGACATTCTGACATTTGACAGCAGGATAAGCATAGATCTTGGTTTAGCTCTAACTGCTTCAATTTCAGGTTCTTTAAATTGTGCATGCTGGCTCACTGTCACACTGTCATGGCTTACCAGGACACTTGAACAGTGTCATTGTTAATGTTTCACCTGTGCTTTTCTTACCATGACAAGTCAAAATGTCTGCTGTGAAAAAGATTTATTGAAGGGGAAGAAACAGAATGAGATAGTAAAGGTGAAATGGCACATTGCTGCCTTTTGGCCAAATTTGACTATTCAATTTTACTGGATGCTGGTGGGACACAGTCATCCACAAAGATCTGAAAGTTGTGGTCTACAAAGGTTGTCTTCTTGAGGAACTCCTTCAGCTTCTGAACGCTGATTTCCACCACCTCGTTGTCCTCCTCATTCAAGCCATAGTAAGCAAAAGATGGGAACTTATAGCGCTCGTTATAAGGTGCATTGTGATCATAATCAACGCAGCAATAAGCGGACCACAAGTATGTGGGCACTGCTACGCGATTGATGTTTTCCCGGCGGATCATCTTCCCCGAGGTGGTTATGCCTGTGACGATGTACGCTGTTCCGCGGCAGTAGTTGTTAAGCCGTTTGCGGATGATGTGCTCCTGATCGTTCCAGACTCCGTTGTTGAAGTCGGGCACCACAGGCACGACATTGGTGAGGGTGTAGGTGGAGGCCTTGTCATCAGGTTCATCCTGGTGCTCATCCGGGTTGAGGGTGCCACGCTCATAAAGGATGGCATTTGTGTAATCATCCAGAACAGCTTGGGCGTCTTCAAAATTCATGTGCATGTAACCACTTGGGAACGGCTGCATCTCATCAGTATCAGAGGTTGTGGATAGCTGTGGAGGCAGACAGACAGATCAAGTGCAAATGAGAAAGATGAAGATCATAACATCTGCATATTTTTTTTTAATTTTGAGAAATGATAACATGCTGGTAAAGTTAAAAGACTTTCTTAGCAACTTATTCTCCATCCTTGATTTTTCTTTACCTGAGGTTCATACATCCATGGGACATCCACGCATTTCTCCCCATCTGAGCGTTTGAAAGTGTAAGCAGAGTACACAGGTATGTGGTCCACGGTGTTGTACAGCGTCACGTAGCGTGGCCTCTTGTTGTAACGCTGACAAATGAACTGGAGGGAGTGGTGCTCCAGCCCAGTCGGTGGTGTTCCCATGTAGAGGAATTCTCTGCACTCTGGTGACAGCTCTTTCTCCACTCTCCCTCTCACTACTGATGTTGCTATGTTGACAAGCAGGAAAGCCTGCGCCCAACGTGCCATTGTCAAGACAGCTTTAATGTTACTGTGATGAAAACAGTCAAATTCAAGTCAAGTATGTCTCTGTGAGCCGTTACAAATGACTGAATGTGTCTCTTTAGCTGCCCATGAAGCTCAGTGAAACAGCTAACACAGGTTTCACACTCTGCTGTCTGTAATCAGGACTCAAAATGCAAAACAATACGGTTGTCAGAGGCGGAGTGGGTGGGTGGCTTCTGGGGCTCCAGCCCCAAAGGTTTTCTCAAAAGCTTTAAAGATTTTCAAAATACTTTTAACTTTGTGTCATTCAGATAATAATATGTGCCCATGTTGTTAGTCCTACGATGCTATTCCCTAAAGAATTTTAATATAATTGAGTGAATGTTCTTCTGTTGGCCTGATATTCACTTAAGAGTATTGAACCATGAATTTCCTGTGTCTTGTGTTTTTTATATTCTTTGTTGGTGTTGGAATGCATCACTTGAGTGTCACAACTAGTTCAGTTGTATTGCTATGCAATGACAATAAAGGCTTTCTATTTTTAGTTTCTAGTTCTAGCTCTCCATGGCAATAACTGCCAGGATTTGTACAATAACTGCTGTGGACTGGGAAGTCTGCTGACTCTGGCACTTTATATTCATTGGCTATGGCACTTTATAGCTACCATTTTATATAATGTGCAATGTGTTTTTTGGCAGTGTGGTTAATGTTTTTAATATTGTATGCAAAGTGTCCTTTTTTCTTTTTTACTCTTATACACCAACGAGGAGTGGCACTCCAAATTTCATTGTATCCTGCAAATACAGTGACAATAACAGCTTTCTAATTTCTAATTTAAAGACAAATTTCACTGGCATTATAGGGGCTCCTTGATTTGCAGTTAGAGCAGCCAGAACTATTATGGCACGGGTTCAAATGTACCCAGCTGACCACCAACAGAGTTACTGTAGATATTTGTATTTGGTTGAATTTAGGTTGTAATGTCGGGTGACAAAAATTCAATATTAGGACGATGTTTAATGCCAATTTCAGTTTGATGGAGAATACTGACAACAGATGACACTGATATTTTGTTGATTTAAGTTGTGTTGTTACGTAACCAAAGCCAATATCTGCCAAACAACTCATGCCAACGTCATCTTGACGTAGAATAACATTTAGTTGTAAGCAGTGGTGGACAGTAACACAGTGCATTTACCTAAGTACTGCACTTACAGTTTTTGAATATCTGCACTTTACTTGAGTATTATTTTTTGGAATCTTATTACTTTGACTCCACTACATTTGAAAGACAAATATTATACTCCTGATTCCATTACATTTCTATGAAGGCTCTCATTACCTGTTACATTTGTGTTGAAGTCAGCAGATAATATTATTTTTTCTTTTCTAAAATGCAAAAGTCCATAAATGGTGATCATGCAGCTCTGTGTGTGGTTTGTTTGACAAAGTGGTGTTCCTGTACCTCTACCTCAAGTCAGTGAATTCAGTGGGCTGTTTTAGAGTCATTAGGTTCTGTAAATGTATTGCAACAATATGCAATGTGTTGCGTTTGAGGTGCTCCCTGGATTAGACAAGCAGCATGCTATGCTAAAACAGGGGGTGCAATGATATACAGATTTTAAGACTTATCTTTTCTTAAAAGGCTTGAAATATATTGCATATAGCTGCCATATTTGGGAAAAATCCCTCTGGGGGTAAAATGCCTCTTAGACCCCCTAGATTTGGCCTGAGACCCAAATGTTTACAACTTCTGGCTCCACCCCTGGCACTTCTTATACCTCAGCAGGTCCACCCACTATAGAAGCAGCTTCAGTAAGCAGCCACAAGCAAAGACATCAATGTTTGTCTCATTGGTGGGTATGACAAAGGTTAGCTCCTGCTTCTCAAGTTTTTCAAACCCACACACCGCTGCTGTCAACCAAACCTGAAATACACAAAACTTTATGTACACTTCTTGTCAAGTTCTAATGGCTTTCAAAGATTGCCATGTATATCATGCTGAATCACAAGTGGTGCACTAGACATTCAGACATTTTTTTAATTCCTGTATCTTGGATTTGAATGTATACTCATAAATGTTAAATAGCTTAAATGAAGCACTAGCATAAGCAGAAACAGAATATATTGACATCATCATGAACTATGTGGGAAAATGTTGTGTCAATATTTGAATCGACTTCAAATTTTAAAGAGAATATAGGAACATTTTATGCTTTATGAGTGCAACAACGGCAACTTGTTTTTGAGTTTCAAGGCATCAAAGATGGATCAGCAGTTAACTCACATGACACTGACATTGACACTGTGTCATCTATCATGTATTGACCCATAATCCAGCGATTACATATGCGTAGCCTCTGCAGAGGTCACTGAGCTGGAAGCAGATGTTTTGCAATATAGAGTGTGTTGAAAATCAGCATCCAGGGGTGCATTGTAAGAGTGTAGGCGAAGGTCTAGTCCACTGAGCTGGACTTATGCTGGTCAGGGTTCAGCCGGCTCCACATAACATTTGACTTAACTGCAACAGTGTATCCTACTCAAACAGTGAAGCCAATATGCAGCTGTTAAATTGCTCACAGGGGGATATAAACTTCCTCCCTGACAGTCGCTAACTTATCCAAATGCGTAAGTCCCTTTGGCCTGCTTTTGTTTTTTTAAACTTTTGGGTAACGAATTTGACATGAGCTCCTCCCTAAAAAGTACCATTTGCAATGTGTACTTATAAAGAAATCTGAAGAAATTGATCAGTGGACCATAATTTTACAGATTACTTATGAAAACAAAGACAGGGTTTTAAATGTGAGATGATTTCGCTACATATTAGGGCATGAGAGAAGATAACATGAAATTTAGTTTGGAACACTAGAGACTCCATAGACAGTGCACTCTTAACACATTATGCAAAGACAAAACAAAAGTTGTTTTTTTTTTTATTCATGTTTTTTACCAACATGTTATTGATCTAAAACATTGTCAGGAATTTTTTTTTTACAATTTCAATAAAGATAGACGACAAACATAACCATAGGCTGTTCTAAATTTTATTAATTCGTAATCCATTCCCAACCATGGACCCAAACATATCCAATGTCATGTATAGAGGTGAAGAGTATAGTGGACTACTGAGGGTAAGGAAAGATTATTTCTAACATGGTATATTTCATTTGGTGATAATCCTGTTAAATGCTAAATAACTCCTGCTTCAGGGTGAACCACAGAGTGTCAGAGGTACTCACTGGGTTCAAGAAATGGGATGAAAGATGAAAAAGATGAAGATGAATAAAAAATGTTTTCACAGCTGTGGTTCTGGCCTTTATGTGTAGCATGGTTTTGTGAGTTTTAGCACATTTTTCCAACCTGGTCTCACAGAAACACATGAAATGACCATGGCCTCTTAACACTGCATTACATGGTGGTGGCACGTAATGTGTTGAAATTACATGCTAGCATTCCCTGGTTCAACGACATCATGCAGAGGGCGGTGATTAATGTTATGACCCCATAAATCGTATAAAGAGCAAGAAAGTCTGTATAGGAAGAACATCAGTGTGGTGCATCAGTCAAACAAGCATAGGACTTTTACCTGAGAGACTGCTGTCTGTGTTTCATGTGAAACTGAAAGTCAACATAGACTGTGGGCTACGTCGCTTTACAACATTCTTACATCCATACTTTTTTTAAACTTAACATAGTTTTTTTCAGCCTTAACCCAGCTATGCTGCCCGTATGTAACACACACAGTCATGTTAACCAAAAACACAAACTTATATTGATATCTAAACCCAACTTTGCCGCCACCACATAATGCGGTGTTAAGAGGTCATGTTGATTTCATGTATGTCTGTGACATCACGTTGCCTTTTTCCACACACAGTATATACCTCACCTGTGTTAGAAATATTTCTCATAAACAGTGTTTTCTTATAAAGGTTGCTAAATATTAAAGTTTTCTTTGTTTAGCACTGCCTTACAGTATAGGCAATTTTAAGGCATAATCTGATATAACCTAAATTTCAAGTTTCTTGTCTTTGAAATACACATGACATGAATGTATGAATTAAAGTTGCATGGTGGGAAATGTCGGATCTGGAGTTCTTACAGGAGCTGTCTTGTAAATCCCTAAAAATGTGATACTATAGTGTGCAAATTAACGTGCAGTTAACGTGCAGTTACACCTTATGTCCTTTAGCAGTGCTTATTGGTCATCTGTGCTATGGCTCATTCTCCCATACAATTTAAAGAGACCATCTAACCTGCAAAATAAAGAGTTATGTAAGTCACAGAATGGTTAATTCTCTCCTTAATATAAGTCCAATTTATTTTGTTCCACATGAAACTCTTAAAGTGTATTTGAGTTAGTCCTGGTTATACATGCATTTCATCATAAGCTTTATTGTAAACTGCATATCCAGTTCAAGATGTCCGATCATACTGAAACACTGGTCAGGTCTCTCTTCTTCCTGAAGGTGTTTTCTGACACACAGCCCTTGTAGAAAATACTCAGGTTGCTGTCTATGTCTGTCTGACTCTTCAGGAAGCTCTCCAGAGTCTTCAGAGGGACTTCCACCACACTGTGGTCAGTCTGTTCATTCAGTGCATAGCCCCCATAACTAGGGAACATGAACCTCACCTCATACGGAGAGTTACGGTCAAACCGCGGGCAGCAGTAAGCCAGCCATAAGTGTTTTGGGATTGCCACACGGTCCCTGTGATCTCGCTGGATGGTCGCCCCAGAAACAGTCACCCCTGTCACCATGAAAGATTTGCCATGGCAGAAGTTGTTGAGGCGGCGGCGGATGATCTCCAAATATGGGTTCCATGAAGCATCCAAGAAGTGTGTGATTAATGGGACGACATTGGTCAGAGTATATGTGGAGGATTTGTCATCTGGCTCTGATTGGTGCAGGTCAGGATTCAGTGGACCACGTCTATATTCTACAGCGTCTGTGTAGTCCTCCAACACCGCCTGGGTGTCCTCAATCAGGGGGGGAGTGTCTTCAGTGAGGGGAAGTGCTCTCATGTTGCCACTGTCATCATCAGAAACCAACTGGAGGGAACAGAGAGGAAAGAAAAGTGGTGTTTATAATTTTGAAAGTGACTGTTTCACAAAGGCCAATACACTTGAGCCAATGCAAAAAAGCATATTTATTCTGAAGAAAGATGGTTGATATTTGAACTCATCGCTTAAATAAATACACCCCTCTTGTCATGTGCTAGATTTACTGTCCCTCTCTCTCCAACTGCCTTTCTCTCTACACACCTATGGTCTTTCTCTTGTCCTGTGCAACAACATGGGCGCCCCCTGCTGCTGACTGGTGGGAATAGCGCTGTCTGGTTTGAGCTGAGCCACTTTATATATTTCCCTTTTGGAGTCATGGCTGTGTATGGACACTGGTAGGTTAGTTTTACTAACTGCTGAGACTATAAAAAGCCAAATAATGTTGTTAGTGCCTAAAAGACTAGTTCACCATTTTGGGAAATATGCTCATTCACATTCTTGCCAAGAGTTGGATGAGAAGATCTTGTGTTTGTATAGTCAATATTTATGTTTTGTAAGTGTAGGCTCTGGAGTGCATCAGGAAGATGGATGACATGACAGCTCCTGCGAAGTGAAGCCAACACATTTTGACTGCCCCCTTGTGGTTATTAGTGGATAGGACAGGGCCAAACTAAAAGATCAAAGCACAGGTCAAATATATTTTTCCCAAAGATGATTTCTGTCATTTTGGCATGGGTGCAGATCCCGGGGGGGGGGGGGGCAGGGGGACATGTCCCCCCCAAATTCTGAAAAACACAAATTGTCCCCCCAGTTCTAAATAGCTTAAATGATTGAAATTGAACAAATGTATACAGTAGTCCTATATACTGGGAGAAAAGGAAGATGATGAGGAGAAATGGGAATCCGCGAGAGGCGAGAGATGAGAACGTGAGTGGACATAACATGCCTGAGACCCTGAAACTAGAAGTAGCATTAACTAACAGCGAAGCAGTGAAAAGGAGGGTGATGGCTGGTTCTGTGTACTACTGGCTGTTTAAGAGAAATAAACAGTAAAGGTAAGCATATGATTCTCTTTGTAGTGCTTTTTGAATGACTTGGTGATGGTGATGAGCCTCTATGAAATTGTGAAATATGCTGGCAATCTCAAGCGCTCTGTGGGCATGATTTGCATGTGTGCAATTAAAAAAAAATCACAACTGATTGTGTCCCCCCCAAACTTGTCATCAGATCTGCACCCATGCATTTTGGGTAGTTCTTGTCATGCTGATGTATTTTCAAGTGTTCATTTTTCTGATTAGTTTGTTTTAAATTGTTATTTGATGCTATGAAAGGAGTGACAGCTATGTGTGCGAATCAGAGCGCTCACGATAAATGGCGCTGCTCAAAACTAGTCGGACGGCAGGAGCTTGACACCCCCGAGCTCGCCTCTGTGAAAACGCCATCTCCAAATGATGTCATCATTCCAAGATGGCAGCAGCCTTATCAGGGATATTTTGGCTTAATTTTTGTACAGTGGGATGAAGTGGAGATGTGTTCTTTATATGTGGTATTAGTGTAGGCTAGCTGTCTCTTTGCTAAGCTAAGCTAACCACCTGCTAGCGCTAGCTACGTACTTAGCTTACAGACATTATATCATGATATATCTCATGTCTTTTTATCTAAAACTGCAAAAACAAAAAAGCACATAAGCATTTTTATTAAATGTATGTTCCTATTCCTTTATCTAGGCCTATACCTATTCCTTTAAAAGAAGTGTGCTAAGGGACATTTTTGGGTGATTGACAGGTGGGTCAACCAGGTGGGAATTGCTGGTTGGTTTTTGGGTAGGAGCTCCAAACAGCCTTTTTCCTCTTTACCAAATTCTGCCCAGAGCAACTGGCAAAATGGCAGCAAGCCAACCTGAGTAAAAAAATGTCCTGTCCTCTAAAGCAGTTTGGTGATGTGAAGTGACAGATAAACTAACAACATTAGTCTCTACCTGTGGCTCATACATCCATGGTGTGTCCATCCTCCTCTTCCCATCAGACTTCTTAAAGATGTAGGCTGAGTAGAGGGGGAGGTGGCGTCTGCTGTCATACAACGTGGCATAGCGCAGCTTGTCTGCATACTTCTGGCAGATCCTCCTGGGACTGGTTCCCTTCATCCCCACAGGTGGTGTCTGCATGTAGAAAAAATGGCTGCAGTCTTTGAAGCTGTTCGACACACTGGCACTCACCTGGGGGGACGCCATCAGCAGGGAGTAAGATAGGACGCAGGTGCAAAACAGATGCATCGTCGCACAGCTGTAGTAGATGGGAAATAAAACACAACAGGGTCATTTCCTCATCATGTCCTGTTTGTCACACGCCACTGTGAATGAAGAAATTTCATGTGGTGATGAGTGAATGAATGCTCTGGTTAATGTGTCATCCTGTATTGGTGTTGCTGTCATAATAAAGTGTAATGTCAGTTGGACAGAGGCGCAGTATGCAAAGCAGTAGCAGCTCACAGTGGATCTATTGGCTGAACAGTTGATTTATCTGCTCCTATGATGTCTGTGCAGCCATGCATCTCTGCACAGGCTTCTGTCGGGCTGTGTGCATGTTCTAACTTATCTCATAAATCCACACTCATGTATGTACTGTACATTAGACCAAAGTTCCTCTGCTATACATACTGGTATGAGAGATGGTTCCTCTTGCAGCCACATTTGGGGGTCCTGTGCCAGAAAAATGTACGCCTCATATGCTTAATTTCCAGCATTATGGCGAATTTCTATGCACAAATTTGTGCTGTTTCTGCATCAAGTTATGGTGGAAATGTTCTTAATTTTTTCATGAAAGTGCTTTGTTTTTAAAGGTGGCGAGAAATGCACATGTTCCAAATATTGGGGGTCTGCATCCCCTCAGAATCTACACTTATGCCTGTACCTAACCTTTACAAGATAAGGATATGACTGATCCTAAAATGAAAATAAAATTTAGAACACTAATGACTTTAAAAAAGCTGTCAAATATGGCAAGTTATAAACATCAGCTGTTTTTATTCACCTTTTTTTTTTATCTTTCCCTTACTTACAGAGTATTTGTTTTAAAAGGGATGCTTTACACTTTATTGTGACAATCATATTAACACAAACAACATGAGGTGACTTGAAATTGGTAATACTCCATGCCATTTTAGTTGTTGTTGTTGCATTACAAATACTAAAATAATGATGGTTGTTCATACATATATATGTTTAAGATTTTACTGCTTAATTTGTGAGCCTTGAATAGTCAGGCTCCTGCCTTTATCTGTGATATATTAATTCCCAATGAGCCTGACTGCTGCCTGAGATCCTCCCACAAGGCTCAACTAGGTGACCTAGTGCTGTCCGGGCCCCTCAGCAGTGGAACAAACTCAGTGCGCTCTTTTCAATCGCCTCTTAAAACTCACCTCAATTGTTTGGCTTTATCTGAACTGATGGTATTTATTGTTACTTTTTATACTATTGTATGATGTTCGTTGATGTACGTTTAGATGTATTATTGTAAAGCGCTTTGTAATTTTGTTTTGAAAGTTTCAACCCTATTGCTTTATAACACAATAAAACAGTTTTGAGCACATCAATTAGTTTTAAGTGGTTATTTATCCATCAGAAGTACAACTTTTGATCCAATGCACAAATAAAATGAGTGTTTGTTGTACTGTAGTGGTCATTTTAAGCAACTACAACTCCAAATCCATGAATGAGTGTATAGATATAATATAATCATTATAAATATTACTATTATTAGAGGTCTCAACACTGATATTAATAGTTGTGGTAGTTATACTATTAATTATACCTGTATTCATAGCATGCACATGAAATTCTATTTTCAGATCCTTAACAACTCCAATCCCACACTTGCTGCACTACTTCCAACACATTACAAAAACAATTATGGTCAGAGATCATTTTGTCCCACTTACACTAAGACTCGGAAGGAGATGCCATACTACATTAGAGCAATAAGCTCTAATACACTTTTCAAGCACGCTATCTGATGGAGGGACACACCTGCAATCACTGATTTGAATCCCAAATCCCATTTTTCTCACTCCACTTCAGCCCGCTACTCTGACATGTCTATGTAGCTGCCTATGTTTTGTCGATTTGCCTCTGCTGATTGTTTCTGTTTATATTTTGTATAATGTAATATAATGTTACTTTGAATTCCTTTCCTGTATAAATAAAAAATGAAATTAAATGTTTTGGACAGTATGAATATTGTGTTATTGCTGCCCTACAACAAGTGCTTTGTAAAATGTTTTAACCACGCCATATTACATTACGTTGAATTTGTTGTGTATTGTTTGCTTCTTTCGTCTTTATATCTTTATTGTTAGTTTTCCTTAGTTTGGCCTCTTGTATTCAGCGAGTTTGATCACATGCAGATCCACGTATCTGTACTGTCTTCAATGTGGAAAAACTATACTTCTATTAAATACTATAACTTTTAATGTTGTCACATTTTCTGTATTATTTTCCATTGAATTAATTCCAGATTGGATAGCTCCAGAACATACACACCTGCAACATGTTCTTTTTATCTCCACATTTCCTCTGTATTTCTCTCATCCACTTTCGATTCTATGTCGAGAGCTTATGAAATATATTCTGAGGAATAATATAGTCTTCATACAAGTTTGCAGTATGTGAAGAATGGTCCCATTTCAAAATCATTTGCTGCTGTATAGTCATGTAGTGCCTCTATTATTCAACAGCGCCCTCTGCTGACTAAACCTATCAAAGTAGTGCACATGCTCAGTTCGACATTGCTACTCAACATGCTCTGCTAGTCATTCAGTTCACTTTCAAGGGTATTGAAAGCAAATAACACAAAATATGCATTTCAAACGCGCTGCTATTGACTGCGAAGTGTATCAGACAACTTTGTCAGAAGTTAATTTGGTTATTCTGTGACTACACGTTCCTGCCTCGTGAATGTGTATTGAGCTGGCTGTTTCTGATTTACACCTTCACTACAGTCTCGTGCTAAAGTTAGCCTCGCTGCTCAGTTTACTGGCAATTAAACCCAACCAGCTTCGACGCTCTGCATTTGAAAATGCCGTTGCAAAGTGCCGTACACATTGGTGTGCAGGCTGGTAAATAGGGGTGTGTTTGCCCTGCTACAACATTGGTTAGCCGCTTGTCAATGTCCAGTCACGTGGTATCACACGGACGGCCATGTTTCCGAAACACAAACAACAAGAAGAGCAGCGACGAGGAGCCAGCAGACACATACAGATACGCAGCAGCGACCGTTGGAGGAGAGGGGAAAAATAATAAATAAAATACAGAGCACGACTTTCTGAAAGTACGATTCTGTCGAATGAATACGTTTACAGTGTTTAAAGAGACCAATGCATACGATATATTGGCTGTAGACACGCCGTGCAGACAACCAGTCTGGTAGCTATAAACAGTGAAGGTAAGCCATGGTTCCTCTTTGCAGCCTGTCTTTTAGCTAGCTGGCTAACGTGAGCTAACAAGCTAACCTCGGCTCTTGCAGCCCGAATGGTATGGATTTATCTGTCGAGAGAAAAGCCTTCGCATTAGGCTCTTTTATGGTGAAAACCGCTGTTGTTTTTGCCATTGTGTTTTGTGTTGTTTACATCGCATTAGCCCTAGCTGAACACCGACAGCGGAGTGGAGGTGGTCGTCCGCACATTGGCGGAGCAGGCCGGGGAGTCTGATCCCAACACTCCGCCCCCTCCGCCATCATATCTGGTGTCATTTGAACCTACAAGCAAAGGCCTTTACGATCAACGCATACCTTGTGCTAGGTTAGATAGCAAGTTAGCTAACCCATCTCTGTTAACAAACTGAAATATGATAGTGTGAGTTGCTAGTATTATCGCATCGATTGATTTTATCTTCCTTTAGCCACAAATCAGTTTGCTGTAATTGGCTTGAAAGGCGAGCAGTGAACGCTACACGCTAAAGTAACGTTAGCTCCCGACCACTGACGGTAGCTAATGTCGACTCGAGCTATTTTGTCAACATGTTAGCCATCTTCACGACTAAACAGTTGAGCATTGTTCAGTTTGCTAAAGTTGCAAATTGGTATACATAAAGTGCTATAGCTGTAGCTTCGTTTTACACTCGGTATTCTCGTAGTTTAAAATTATAATCCCGCCACATTCTGACGTGCGTAACATTCGCAAATACCCAAATGCATAAGAAATGTCATGTTCTGCAGGCAGCGTTATTTCTGCGTGACCTTGCCTCAGTTTTCTCAGTGCAAAGTTATTACTAGACAATAAAGATATTAATCCTGAATGTTGTGGCCTGGAGTCCGGAGTGAAGTTATGAAATACTTTGGAGTCATGATACTCACAAGCGGGGGACAGATGTTTAGGTTAAAGTTATGTATTCTGAATTATTGCAGTTCTATGTAAATGTGTTTTATCCTGTTATTGAATCAGGCTATTTCTTGAATGAAATGCAATTTGTATGATTCTGAAATCATGATCAAGTCGAGTGTATCTTGTTTTGCTGCTTTTAAACTGACAAATAATTGCAAAGTCTGTGCTCATTCAGCTCACCAAACATTACGTTAGAGTATGAAAGCCAGCATCAGTACCCAGATATCGAGGCAGTCTCATCAGTACCCAAAAGGAGTTTATCAAAAAGTATTGGAAACCATGGGTCTGATGGAAATAATGCATTCCCGTCTGTAACAGTGGCCCTTGTTCTAGTTTACCACCATGAGAATTATATTTTGTCACTTAAGTTTCTGTAGGTTGACATACACACAGGACCAACTTCATCTCCAGCAGATAAACCTAAAATGAAAAAATTATTTATACCCACGATGCAGTCTGATGTAAATTCAACCTGTCAGCATCCAATATTCCATTTGTCTGTTGCCTTAAACGTGTATATTTCAGTACTGTCAGTTGTGTGATTTAATATCGTTGATGCTACTCAGAAGGTCTACTCTTAAAGTACGCTACTACAATCATGTTGTACCGGATTTCCTGTAATTACATAGTGTAAGTCAATTGCAATGAGGCATTATAGGTTACAGGAGCTGCAACACTAGCAGTGAGTGGCACCAAAGACTGCCAGCTTCATTCACAATTACTTCCATTGAAAACAATTAAAAAGTGCGCCATATTGAATTTCAAAATGATTTAGTGTCGATACAAAATACATATAAAATGCATATATAACATGATGTCAATAAGCATCACATATGCATCAAAAGCATTTTTTTTAAAATTATTATTATTATTATTATTATTATTATTATTATTATTATTACAACATGTCAGAGGACTTTCTAATTAAGTAAACAGGGATGTGTAAGCAGTGCTAAAAAAAATTCTGGCATTGTGACAGTATTGACACTTGACGCTATAGCCCCTTTTACACTGCCAGATTTTCCGCAAATGTCAGGCCGTTTTGCCAGCCAGCTGCAAGCGTTTAGACACACAGAGGCGGAATAGCGAGTTGATCCAAGGCGCCTAATTTAGGCCCTCATAGGTTAGTCATATTGGCGGAACCCTTTTAGTTTAAGACCGAGGCGGCCTTCCGCACCAGGAGGGGCTGTTGATGACTTGTGGGAGGAGCTGTTGATGACGCAGAACGTGCGAGGAAACAGAAGGAAGAAAGAACAGGAAACAGCTGATAGCAGGAATTAGCGAACAGCTAGTAGCAAGAGGGAAACACAAACCTCACAGACACTGTAAAGATGAGCAACTGGGGAGACAAGGAATTGCGCGCCCTCCTTCTCCTCGCAAACGAAGAGGCCATTAACCGTCAGATGACGGGAGCGGTGAAGAACAGGCTGATTTACGAGAGAATCGCCACCTGACTAGCCGCGGCTTCCCTCCCATGTCACTGTTTACGTCACACGCTGAGTTACACGTTTTGTTACTTGCTCACGCCCCCCATTGCCCCAAAAAAGCCACATTCTGTATAAACAAAAGTAGGCAGGTGGCAATTTGCCACACTCCCCAATTTTGTTTTTATACTGCCAATGCTGAAAAAAGACTGATTGGGCTTTCCTGCAAATTAGCACAATTCCTATCTAAAAAGGGCTTATAACACATCTGTGTTACACGAGTCATTCAGAATGACATATTTACTGTTGGCCCAATCAGTTTTCTTTTGAGTAATCATTTATCACCAGAAGCTGAATACCTCTTCTTTTATTGTGATTGGCAGGTTTTAGCTTGTTTTAACCAACAAGCATCAAACAAACTCAGAAAGCTGAATCAAATGAAAAATGTTTCTCAGCTAGCATGGAAGTGCTAACGGCATGTACCATGCAGCTGCAGGGAAGTGAGACTCAGTATGTTTACATGACCTAAGAAAAAATCCATTTATTGTGTTAACCTGACTAAAACCTGACTTTTAAAATACATGTTAGCATGTTAGTCCAACTGAAATTGTACCAAATTGAATTTCTCAAAGTTGAACCAACACACTCAGACAATGTGATTGGCAATCGAATTATTCCTGCATGTGTACAGTTGGTCGGAACAAAAGCGGCTGAGGTGCCCTGCGCATGCTCCACAGTGTCCGCCCCAGGCTTTGACCCTGAAGTCAGAAGCATTAAATGCACAATAGAAGAAGAAGCCAGTAATAACATGGCAAAATCTACATCTAGAGCCATGCATGTTTGGATTGATGAAATGAGTTGTAAAGTTGTCCACCGTGGTACCAGTGTGTTGCTAGCCAAATGTAGCTAACTCCTTTGTCGATTGTTTGGTCTGTGATGTTATAGGTCAACCGGAAAAAGGACCAATACTAGCAAGCTGAAAGGGCATATGGGCACCTATCATAGTGGAGTCAGGCATATTTTGGTCAATAAATCGTTTCCTTCCCATGCTTGTATACTGGAACAAGGATGGTAGTCCAATTAAATGGCCTAGTCGAGCTAATTCGGTAACCGGACTTGTAAACTTGCACTAACGGTGCATGTAAACTTACTGACTGAGTTGTAGGTTAGAGAGTTATGTAATCCTTAAAGACAAAAATATCTGGACAAATTTAACTAGTTATTGATTTTGTTAAGTTGAAATGGCATGTATTATGATAATCAATTTAAGTTCACATTGTGCAGTTTCACCCACTGTAAGCAGAGGGGCCAAATGAGGAGTAACAATACACTGAAATCCTTCCCTGTCGCTCTACTCGCCTCTGTTCTCGAGGATTTCGTAAAGAGTTTCTTTTCCAACAGTTCTTCTGAAAAGCTGTTCCAGGGGATTTTTGTCCATATTTCAAATGTAATATACATGACAAATGTATGACTTTGTTATATTAACAAAGCTAATTATTTTGTCAGCATTCAAACTCTACATCTCCCACATAGCTTTGACTGTGTGCCAGTGACTAAGACTCATGGTGGAGTTGGGCGTTATTGATTAAAATCTTGTATTGATACCTGACTCAAGATGTATCATCCCATTGATGCAAAAATCCTGCAAGTCCAATATAGCCAGAAGGAGTCCTGCTAATTTCCAACATTGTGCACAATGGCTTAATGCAGCCAGTGATATTAAAGAGATAGATACCTCCATAGAAGCAGTAGATAAAGTCATTAACTCTAAACAATTTTCTATGGCCTCACAATATATACTGCCATGTCATCTAACCCTAAACATTGGATTATTTTATCAGCTTTCAAAGTGATTATAATTAGGTACAGCTGATAAAATCTGTGGGTTATTTAAGTGACTAGAACTGATGGGCCCTGATACTGTAGAAAAAATTGATTCAGAGCACAAAGATGCTTAAGTTGATAGTTTTATGGTTAAATTATTGGTTTAGGCTATTTTCTGTTGTCCATAAAGTTAGAGTCGATTACAAAAACAAATACACAGCATTATATCAGAGCTCTAAACAACAACAAAAGTGAATTCTAGATTGCGCTTGGGAGACATAATGTCACTGTTTTTGCATATGATGGCACATCGCCCACCCCTACAGTGTTAAAAGAAATAATGGTAACAGCCGAGACAACTATGTTCCTTCTGTCATCCTCAGTTGTACATCTGTCACTATTAAAGTGATGAGGCTTACTCATGTATCATTAAATATAACAGTTTAAATAATAAGAATGCTTGGTCTATACCCATGTCACAGAGACACACAAGCCATATAAGAGCATTAACTGTTGATGTTTGGTTGCTTGGATATTGGTGTAGTTGCCATGGCATTTTCAGGAATTATCCCCCAAACAGCTGCATGATTTTAGCGGCAGCTGGTTGACAGCATCACTGAGATATACTCCCTAGATTTCTGGATGGAAAATCTCCTGCGAGCAGCAGGAACATAGGGCCGAGATTGAGCGCTACACTAGAATTAGTTTGCTAGTTTCATTTATCCGGTGCAGGAATACCACCGTGTTTTTCCTCCAGCTCAGTGTGCCGTAACGGATTGATCAAATCAGGCCAGTACCTTTCAGTGAGTCCAAGGCACGCTGTGAAAATAGTGTGTCAAGGCTACACAACGGAAAATCAAATTACACTTCCTTTCCTATCACAATATAGGCGGACTGCCAAGCTGTGAAAATGCATCTCACCGACAGCTAATTTATTAAGTGTACACTTCTAACATTATTCTTTCCCTCTGTCTTTTAATCGTTTCATTTCTCTGATCCCTTCTCTCCAACTCTGCTTTATTTTCAGTGGTGCAAAGGGAGGAGGACAGGAAATAAAGGAGTTACCTGGAGGGTCTCCGTCAATCCACTTTTCAGTCGGAGCGAGAGAAAAAGGCACGGAGGGAGAGAGAGAGAAAAGAAAAGAGGAGTGCGAGTCGCGTCTGCTCTTGGCAGCTGTTCCAGCAGCCTGTTTCATTGTTTTGGCTGTTATTTCGTTCCTGCGTTACCTTTTTTGATGAATAAATTCATATTTTTAACTTTAATGTGAGATAGAACTGCTGTAAAAAAAAAAAGAAAGAAAAAAAAAGAAAACATTATTACTAGCAAGAGTGTTTTATTTTGTTCCATCGTTAATTTCCAAGGTTCTTTTTGTTTCTTTTTTTATGTTTATCAACCCTTTTCAGCTGTGAGTAGCAGGAGCTTCCATTCTCCAAACTGTTGTCGAACCCCCTTCCTTATCTAGTTAGGACCTGATAACCTGGTATTCCTCAAGCACCTGAAACTGGCAGCTATTCTCTTTGTGTCTGTGTGTTTGGGGAGCTCTGTGACCACAGCTTAAGCACCACTCAGCCTTCTAGTCACCTAAGCCTAACTAAAGCCAGCCAGCTCTAGCCTGGTCCAGCCCAGTCCAGCCTGCTCCGATCATCTGGACAGGGTAAGGCAGTGTGCGCCACATTTGTTCTTTACCTTGTACATTTTTTCACAACTTGACAGCAGCTTGTTTTCTGCAGTAAATAAAACTGAAACTATTTTTTTTTCTCCTCAGATACTCAGTTCTGTGTGGACGTGAGGAATATGACTGCTGAGACTCTTAACTTCGGCCCAGAATGGTAACTGATCTGATTTCTTAACAGTATTTCAGAGAAAGTGGTATTGAATACATCGAGAAGTAGCTCCTGAACATAATATGTGATTGCTCTCAGGATGAGTAGATAGATTGTTGGCAACGATCACTTTGATGATTTTACTCCGCTCAGTGTATACTGGAGCTTTTGAGACCATTTTAATGACTTCCACGTTTTAAAGGAATCTTGACTTCAGTCTTCACATTCTGTCATGAGACCTAGATGGTAAATGGACTGCTTGAGTGTGGCAATTAAATTGAATGGCAGTTTGCTCTCGTGATGAGATTATTTCATGTGTAAAATTGACATTTTGGTCTGATGGTGAAAGGAAAGGTCAACAGATTAATTAAAACTGGGATTCACTGCAATCCACTTGTCATGGATCAAATTGGACCAGGATTGTCGTACTAGATTTTAGATGTAGATGATGTAGGCAAAACTAGGGCTGGGCAATATGGCAAAAAATGTAATCAAAATCATTTTTTCCATGTTAGTAGATAGTATAATTTCACAAAATGGCCAGTTTGAAGAGTATCCTGATAATATACAAACTTTCTGAACTTTTTTCCTCAACAATTTCCTTTGCGTTGGAGGATAACAGGAGTTCACTTTCAGCACTTTAGCCTAACAAGCTATGTGGCTGTGTAAAACAAACTGGGTGTGAATGAAGAGCACGCTGCAAGGTATTGTGGGCAGAGTGGCCCAATACGTCACATTTCTGCAAATTTGAGTTGAGCTTGGACAGCGGGTGTTTGATCATACTGTCTCTTTCCCTTTTGTTGCACTTACGGATCATGAACGTTGTCGTCGTCGACACCTGTATAGTAAATCCTAACGTCTGTTTGATTCCTTCTGCTGCGGGCTCTGCCCTGAAGTTCCGCTGCTGTCCACTGTGTGTGCGCGTGGGAATATATTGAGTATATATGACTGGACCGTGTGTGGTCAGGGTACTAAATCGTGGCCTCATTGCTGAATTTAAAAGTTTAGCCTTTAGGTAGTAGTATCCCATGACCAGCAGAATATTTAGTTCTCAGTGTGCGGCAGATTTAGAATGAGCTGCAGTCATCAGCCCCTTTTACACTGCCAGATTTTCCACAAATGTTGGGCCGTTTTGCTGGCAAGCTGCAAGCGTTTAGACACACATAGCCCGATTGGCGAGTTGATCCGAGGTGCCCAATTTTCCGCCTCATAGGGTAGTCATATTGGCAGATCCCTTTTAGTTTAGACAGACCGAGGCGGCCTTCCGCAATGGGAGGGGCTGTTGATGACTTGTGGGAGGAACTGTTGATGACGCTGCACGTGCGAGGAAACAGAAGGAAGAAAGAACAGGAAACAGCTGATAGCAGGAATTAGCAAGCAGCTAGTAGCAAGAGGGAAACGCAAACCTGAAAGACTGTAAAGATGAGCAACTGGGGAGACAAGGAATTGCGCACCCTCCTTGCCCTCACAAACAAAGAGGCCATTAACTGTCAGATGACGGAAACGGTGAAGAACGGGGAACTTAAGAGAGAATCGCTGAAGGACTGACCAGCCGCGGCTTCCCTCCCACGTCACTGTTTACGTCACACGCTGAGCTACACGTTTTGTTACTTGCTCACTCCCCCTGTTGCCCCAAAAAGAGCGCATTCTGTATAAACAAAAGTAGGCAGGTGCTGCACTCCCCAATTTTGTTTTTATACTGTCAATGCTGAAAAAAGACTGATTGGGCTTTCCTGCAAATTTGCCCAATTCCTATCTAAAAAGGGCTATCGAGTTGAACCTGTAAAAGCCCCATGAGGACATAATTGAGGACAGTTTGCACCACAGGCAATGGGGAAACTCTGTCACTCAACCGATTAGCTGTTTTTGGTTTATAGGGCTGGCCCAGCTTTGCTGCAGTCCAGCCAACAGTGGCCCTATTTGTAGAGATTGCAACTGAAACAATTAATCGATTAATCAATTAGCCACTTTACAGACGATTAAGTAGCAACTGTTTTAATGAACAAAATAGTTTGAGTGACTTTTCATGGCAAGATGCCAAATATTTGCTGGGTAAAGCTTTTCAAATGTGAGGGTTTGTAGGCTTCTTTGTTTCAGGTGATAGTCAGCAATTTTTTTGTTGTTGTTTTGGACTTTTGGTTGGACAAATAAGGTGTCTGAACATCAGACGCAACATTTTTTAAACATAGTCATTAACTAAGAAAATAATTGGCATAATTGTTAGTTGCATATGTTTCTCTGGACAAAGAGACCAACCAATATCACTATTGAGGGGTGAGAAATGTACTTGTTTATTTCCTCCCCATGGACAAATTAAGCATCCTTCCTTCCTTCCTCATGGCAGTAGCCTTATAGTCTACAGTTCAGTGTGTTGGTATATGTAATTTAATGTTTTCGGTTGTAGCTTTTAAAGGCTGTTTTCTCTTATATTCACCGACTGTGGGAAAGCAGCTTTTACCTGAAATTAAAATGCAGGTATTGTCACAGCGGTGTCCCGTCCATCTGTCTGTCTCCCTGACATTTTTCCTCCTCCTCAGTGGATGCTTGTATAACGATTAATGGGGGGTGTAGTCTTCGTTTTGGTAGCACTCAATCTCTAACAGCCTGTGACTGCTGTGTGCATTCTTGGTGCAGTGCCAGCCTTGCAGAATATTTCTCTCTTTACACATCTGCAGCTGCTTTCCTCTCAGTGGCCCTTCTAGCCCACTTTTATCCTCGCACCCTTTTAATACAGCTATAGCGGCCAGGTCATGCGCTCACCACATACAGCTGTCTGGCCAGCATGTTTACAAGTCTTTTAATGCCTGTTAGCGTTTAAAAATTATTTAGTCCATTTGAGGTTTTGTTGGCAGCAGAGTCGGCGTGTATGTTAGTCATTGTGGGAGAATTCAAAGTGAAAACATTCTGCCTTGTATTGAGATTTATGTAACAGTTATTAGGCCGACCTTTGCTCTATAAGACTCTCACAAAGGATTATGTATGTATAGATTGAAGTGTGTGTTTAGACGGTTGGGGAAGGAAGCAGGATTTTTCCAAGCTAAATACAAGTGAAGTGGATACAAACATGCAAAAATATTTCTCAGTGTCTCACCCACTGGCATGTTTGCTCAGCTCTCTTATTATACATATTAGGTGCTGCATCACTTTTTTTAACCCTCTTTGATATGCCACATGCCACCAACTGGTCTTTCATGATGCTTTTCTTTTACCTCTTCCACCCTACACCCCCCTCCACACCTCTCAGAGCTCCATGTGGTTTTGATGTGGGGCTGTGAGTCAATGGCACATTTTGTAGAGGCATGTGAATGGAGCCATTGTTAAACAGCAGGCCTTGGAATCTGGCCTGCTAGTAATAGCTTTTTAAAATGAAATCTTGAGATTGGAAAGCTAATATATCATCTGTGTTGAGCCAAGTGTATTCAGGGGGACCTGCGTGGGAGGATGGCTGACTTGTGACAGAACATTTAGTAAATTATTTTTTCCCTGCTGCAAGCTGGATGCTATTGGATATTTTTTTTCTCCAGTTCAGATGGGAAAAAAATCTATCACATTTACACAATAGCAGTTATTTTTTTGTGTGTGTTATGTGCCAACAAGGGAATCCGCACAAGTTATTTGTGAGTGATTTTTCTGCATTGTATGTCAGCTCCAGTCAGTAGACAGAGTTATTGCGAACATGTGGCTCTAAAGATTTATTTCCTGTTGAAACACTGACACCTGACCAGTAGCTTAGGTTCCTGGTTTATATGATATTGTAAAAAATATATACACATTTATATTTTTTGAAGTTGCAGCAAACATTGCATGCAGCAGTGAGATGTCTTGATGGTCTCTTTAAGGTTCATACAAGAAATGTTTATGTAAAAAACACATTATCCTAATTCTTAATGATTCCTGTACTCTTTCTCACGCAGGCTCCGTGCACTGTCCAGTGGGGGGAGTGTGACGTCCCCCCCTCCTTCCCCCGCCATGCCAAAGTACAAGCTGGCCGAGTACCGCTACGGCCGAGAGGAGATGTTAGCACTTTATATCAAAGACAACAAGGTTAGTTGGAAGGTTTCTTCAACGACTCAATGCAACATTCAGAGTGTGAGTTGTCTGGTCACGGTTCCCAACATGGAGGTGGCTGAGCCAGTGGCTAGCAGCTAACAATGTTAACTCCATAAATGGTGCTATGCAATGGCAACCGCTCTGACAGAGCTAACAGTGTTAATCGGGGGACCATCGCTACAATTCTGCGATGAAGCCCCCCTGGTATCAGCACTAACTACGATGTGACACAGTGCTGAGTGGTAGTGATGTGCTTGTTAGTAGTATATGCACATGCAGTGCTATTGCATGCCTGACCGGACCTGCTTACCATTACTGCACAATATCTTTACATAGCAAACAGTGGTTTGCTGCTGTATGCATTGAATGTCACATACAGACCCTTTAATGTTTCGCAATCTTGATAAAAGTGATCAAGCACTGTCTAAACACCGGCATGTATGTTGCTTTTAAACTTCCATTGACCTTCCCATCCTTAAAAATGAATACCTGTTTGTAGGTCAGTTGTTTTTTGAAGTTTCTGGAAGATAGTTTTGAAGGCTATTTGTGTCTTCCTAAATGCCTGTTGTTGTTGTTTTAGGTCCCAGAGGACATGCAGGATAAGGAGTTTGCTGCTATTCTGCAAGATGAGCCCATGCAGCCACTGGCACTGGTGCCTCTCACTGAGGAGGAGCAGGTCTGCCACAAACACACGTCCACAAACGCACTGATACCTGCAAATGTTGAACTGCTTTCAGCTTGTCATGTGATATCTCATCGCGATACGACCTCAGTTTGAAAGCGAGCCGTTCTGTCGGTTGACGAATGTGGCTGTGAGCTCACATTCCTCACATTCCTCCCTTTCGCTCTTTCCATTCTCTCTCTGCAGAGGAACTTCTCCATGTCTGTGAACAGTGTGGCGGTGCTGAGGCTCATGGGAAAAGGGGTGGGCGGGGCCGCCCCAGCTGGAGTGGTCCGAGGACGAGGGGCCACACGAGGCGGTCGAGGTAAAAACTAAAGGCAGAAAGCCCTTCCCAGACACATATTAGAAGAGGAAAAAAAAACGGCATCAAATAAAGCACAGCATTGATTCAGCCGACGTGCACTCATGATAAATCCACAACCACTTGTGCTAAAACTAACACGAGTCCAACAGTAATGCTGCCCAAAACCCTTGGCTGAAACTATAATGGCTGTTATCCAGGGAAAGTAAAACAATTTATTCAAGCCAGCCACTGAAGTGTTTATTTCCCTCTTTTCTTCCACCATCTTGATGCAGCACACTTCCTCTTGGCCTGTCTAAATAGTCCCTCTTTTGTCCAGCCACACCTGTATAAAGCCACTGGGCTCTTGAACTCACCTTGTGCACACAGAGCACTCTGCGCATGTGAACGGCCAATGTAAACACTGGCCGTCCGGTGCAGGACAGCCAAGGAAACAACTTTGAAGAATAATGCTGTGTGGGTTTCGTAATTAGCATGCATGTGCTGGCATGTGTGGCTTTGCAGTTTGATCTAATCAAACATCGGTGCAAGACATTTTGTTTAATTATAAAAGTGCTTGTTGAATTAGAACACAAAAAATATTTGGCTGATTCAACAGAAAAACTGGCTGATCACAAGTTCTCTCATTCAGATGATGATTATATTAAATATAAACACTTAATTCTCTGTGTGTATTCGATCAGGACGAGGTCGTGGTGAAGGTGGATTCTACCAAAGAAGTATTGAAGATGCGGAGGTGGGTTTCGGCCGCAGCGTCCGAGAGATACACCGCAGCCAGAGCTGGGATGACCGGTAAGAAAACACCCAGCACACACTACCTGAAGGTCAAATAAATCATAGTGCTCCATGGCATAGTAAAGGCGTATATCTGCGCTGCTGATAGAAGCTGTCATCCAGTGTAATAAACTCAATAATCCGCTCTGGTATTTTTGTAGAATTTCGCCCTTGTGGGATGATTTATCTCACTTTTGCAGACACCTTCTCTTATCAGCCTAGGCTGAACTAAAGTATCAGCTTGTTGTGTTTCTTCAGTAGTTTTTCTTCACAGGCCTGGTTAAAATATGTGAATTGCTATCTGTGGTGATGAGATGCAAGTTTGAGCTGGACATATTTCTTAAAGATAAAACTGGCTGCATGTTTTGGGCTTGTTTTCCTCTGTTTATCACTTAAGGGATTCCTCTCAATTTCCCTTCCTTCCCTCAGGGGCGAGCGTCGATTTGAGAAACCGCTGCGGCGGGAGGTGGGGCGTCCTGGCTTTGAAGAGACTGGAGGTCCCGCGGGTCCAGGGAGGAAGGAGCACACAAGGGCTGACAGCGATAACTGGCGCATCCTCCGGGAGGAGCAGGAGGAGGAGGAGGGGGCGGAGCCTGGCACCAACTGGAGAATTGCTGGACCCCGCAGGGATGGTATGATAAATACAAACATTTGTTTATTGATTTTACTGCTGCCTCAAACTCATTTTTTTAAATGAAAGCTATACCCAAGAAAAAGCAAAGGTTTCATTATTAATTTTCTTTTTAAAATACACGATGGGCAGTCCATACACCTTTTGATGTGATTTTATTCGCCAGTATGGAGGGACTGCTGCAGTTAAGACTGGGTTTGGTGACGGTTGTTTAACACTCAGTTTGCTGGCATTTCAGTGCAATTCTCTGTTAAAGCAAGCACGGACTGAAAATGTTCCAATTTAGTTCTGGACCTATTGCTTACTCACTGACTTTAAGTCCCAGTGAAACCGAAGTTATTCCGTCCTTAGCTTATGTACTGTGACGTATTTCCTAGTGAAGCTAAATATTTGAGTGGTGTTAAGTTACAAGAGGGATTTGAATCAAATCCTTGGCAATTGATTGGGCTGCATAAAACCAGGCAGGCTTAGAGTTGCATACAAGATGCAGCACAGTCTGCTGCCGAGTGGACTGTTGCCTCCCCACATACCACCCTCACCATTAGATCAGGGGAAGATAGAGGGAGAGATGAATGAATAAGACCTCTACCACATTGTTTCGGAAATGAAAACAAAGGTTTTCCCACTGTTATCCAAACACACATCTTCTCCTTGCTTTGTTAGCTACTACAACCAGTAAACAGTAAAGTGCGGTTAAAAATATGATACAGATTTTTTGCCATATATTTGCCATATAACAAGAGATAAATGATCAATAACACAGGTACACAGGATTTAAACTTGGAAAACTTGTTTTTTATTTCACTGGGTCTTTAATTATATTATGTGTTTATTACATATTATTACATCTCAATCCCAAACGATTTGCCCTTACTGTAATGTTTAGAGAAGAACTTTTTCTCAAAATATACAGGTAACTAAATGATTCATATGTGGGTTACATGGCCATTTGTATTCAGTAACTTAAAACCACATCAGACCTGGCCTGTTTGGTTCTTCATATGAGCAATAATACTCTGAGGCGTGAATGAATTCAAAAGGCTGACACAACCATTCAAATTAGTCTAATCACACAATGTGAAAGATTAAAATAGTTCTTAATCCATGCCATCAAAGCTCAGTTGTGACAATGTGCAGCAGATCTACCCTCAAACATTAGATACAGTGACATCCAGTGGCAGTGAAGTGATTTCAACAAGGCAAAGCAGATTGTAGCTGAAACAGAGCTGCACTTTGAAGCAGTTTCTGAGGATGTAACAGTCACATTAAGAGACCAGATGACTTTCCGAAAACTCATCTTAAACTCTGAACAGGTGATATATAACAGATTCCAAGACATAATCACTGATTGTCTGGGTAACTGCTGTAACTTGGTAATATGTTTCTCCTATGAAACCTTGTCTCTGAGCAGCTACTTGTGACATTATCTTCACTGATGGTGGTTCACTTCTTTGCCAGATGGTGGTCCTCGCTCAGCAGGCTGGCGGGACCATACCGGTCCAGGTGAGAGTCGTCGGAGGAAGTTTGATTTTGATTTCCGGGACTCTGAGGGCCACGGTGGTGGCCGCCGGCGTGCAGGCAGCGAGGGACTGGAGGACGACAGGGACGGCCTGCCCGAGTGGTGTACAGATGAGGAGGATGGAGAGATGGGCACATTTGACTCCTCTGGAGCTTTTATGCCTTTGAAGGTATGCTTTTAAAATACTTGCAACCACTGGTATTATTAACATTTTCACAGTAGCAGGCTCTTTGAATGAAGTACCAGCTCTTATTTCAGTAAAGTCTTTATATGAAAATGAGTATTTGTCGCACTCTTCAATTTCCTCTTCCTCTCCTGGTCTTCCTCTTGACAGAAGGGTGGCAAGGAGACAATCCTGGAGGAGGAGTTGGAGTTTAAGGGGATAGAGGAGGAGGAGGAAGAGGAGAGCTTTGCTGACATGGAGGGGAACAGTGCCGAAGGAGACAAAGACAAGGGTATGGAAAGATTTAATATTTTCTTCATTTAATGATTTTAGAATGTCAATAAAACTGGATGAAATGGAGCACAGTATATGAGCCCTTTGCCCCTTCTCAGTGTGCATAGCAGCCAGTTTTTTGCACTTTGTCTGCACAGTTTTTCCCAGTTGGTCACCCTTCCTTTCCTCTGTTCTCTCCTCACAGAGAGTAAAGATGCTGGCTCTGCTGTGGGGGATGGCGAGACGAAGCCAGCGTCACCATCCTCCTCACCTACAGCTCCCCAACACTGCACCCCTCCATCCCTGGAGCCTCGGCCCAGCAACGCTGGCCCAGCGGTGGACAACCCTCAGCTGAGCAACAGCCACCCTGTTAAGGCCAACAACACGCCTAGTGAAGGTACGCCTGGCTCCGTGGCTTTTTGTGTTTAAGCAGACTTTAGTGCAACAACACGAAGATAGATTAATTTAGCAGCATTATTTAACTATTTATTAAGGCAAGTTATTTTGCATTGTGAAACGTTAAAGTGTGAAACAGGACTGCATGATGTGGAGAAAATACAAATGGTATGAACAGTTGATTTTGTAAAACATGGGTAGGAGCTGGTGCTTAAAATGGCTGACTCTCACAAATTAACCCAAGTTAAAAATGTATTTTTAACCTTTGCATTCTTTTTGGAAACACTGGAAAAATATGATTGTTGCAAGGAGTTAATTTCCAGAGCATCTCTATCCAAACATTTGGCTATTTATACTTCTTTCTTGAATTACAAACTCTGATTTGAAGCATTAAGTGTCGTGCCATGGCTCTGTAACTTTAGAGCTTTTGGCTTCTTGCATTCAGCTAAGCCCTTTTAGTCTCAGGACAGTGAATGTGTGGGAGGAAATTCAGCCACGTTGTTATTTTGGCTTGATACACAATATGTTTAGCCCCAGTCATTTAATATCTTGTTTACTGAACCCGCTCTGCTGTTCCTGCTTTATCAGATTCAGAGCCAGTAGGTGGCTCTACCCCCACATCCAACCTCACCATCCCATAAATAGACATACTAAAAATAGGGCCCATTGTTTCATGAAAGTTTCGTCTTGTTGTTTTTGTCAGACATGGCTCCGGCAGGGGGCTCCAAGGCCCAGCTGAGCCCCGGCGCCCCCGCCTCCTCTAGTCTGCCTCCCCCACCCCCTTCCTCTGCTGCTCCTCTCCTCCCTCCACCTGGAGGAGACGCAGAGGACGATGAGGGCATGAAGCACCTGCAGCAGGTAGGAACAACAGGAGGCACATTTCAAGCAGCTGTCTCAGAAATGGTGTATAATTATAACAGGAAGCAGATTTAACTTTAATCAACTAGTGATTATTTTGCTTCAGAATATTCTAGACTCATTACATTGAATAAACAATGAATATGTAATCTGTGCAATGTACCCACGTCAGTCATTGCAACTTAATTTGTGCAGATCCACCTGATGGTTAAGCTGAATTAGAAGATGCAAGCTAACAAAAGTGAACTTAGCAGGTAAATTGATGTGGGGGGTTTAATGACAGCCTACATCTGTGTGTGTGTGTGTGTGTGTGTGTGTGTGTAGGAGGCAGAGAAGATGGTGGCATCACTGCAGGACACTTCTTTGGAGGAGGAGTGTTTCACCCAGGCTCTGCAGCAGCAGCAGGAGAGCAGGAACACAGCAGCTGCTCTGCCGCTGTCACATGAGGCTGCCATGAAGTGGTTCTACAAGGACCCGCAGGGAGAGATCCAGGGTATACTCACACACCTCGGCGTTTTATATACTTATACACTCATAAATACAAGCGTAGCGTAGTGATTCATAAATATGGCTGTTGTGTGAAGTAGCTGAAATGAGGCACACAACGTCAGCTACATAATCGCTACTCTCTCTCTGTCTTTCTCCGACCTACTACCAGGTCCATTCACCACAGTGGAGATGTGCGAGTGGTTCCAGGCTGGCTACTTCACCATGACCCTGCTGGTGAAGCGGGGCTGCGACGAGGGCTTCCAACCCCTGGGGGACGTCATCAAGATGTGGGGCCGCGTGCCGTTCGCCCCGGGGCCCTCCCCGCCGCCCCTGCTGGTGAGACAGCCACCACCAACGCAGCGCCCGCAGCCCAACCGGGGGCCCGCCGGGACTGTGAGTCAGAGCTCAGCCAACGTAGAGGATGGGGAGGGGAGGATGCAGAGGAGAGGGAAGATTGATAGACAGGTTACGGTAAAAAAACAATGATTCATTCAAATTCAGTTAAACATGAGAGACTACATTTGAAAGTTACTGAAGTTGCCCCCACTTGTTTTTAAGACATTGTATTTGTGTTAATATCTTGATTCCCTCCTGTAGGATGTGGGAAAGAGTTATCAGTATTCAAACCACAGTAATATAACCATATGCAGTGGCCTCAAGTAAAAGACACTTGTTGCATGTAAGCTTCAAATTAGTGGAGCAGAACAGGGCAGGTTCCCTGCCTTCATTTTAAGTTGTAATGTAACACAGATATTGTCCCATGTTCCTGATTGCCTATAAATGTGGCACAGTTGATCAGATGTTTGTGCATCTATGATAGCATGTTACTTTAATCCTGCACAAATTAAATGAAGAATTATTAAATGGTCCATTTGCAATAGTTTAGTGAAGTTTTTTGCTCCACAAACAGTTCTCTCCTAGCTTTAACCCACTGTACATGGACAGCTGTGTTTTGGTATCCTGAGTTTGAGTATGCATTGTACTGACTGCTGATTGCTGTCTTCTTTTCAGGGAAACCTGGACCAGGATCGCCTGAAAAAGCAACAGGAGCTGGCAGCAGCAGCAGCTATTTATCAGCAGCTCCAACAGCAGCAGCTATTCCAGCTCATTAACAGGTAGGCCTACGGGGGAGGCGAAGGTTTCATCTTCCATGTCTGGACAAGTGTACATTAATTTGTGCTTGTGTGGGAGGAGATTTTGACTTTGGACTTTACCTTCAGTGTTTGACTTTGCCTGTGCGTTCCAGGTGCAGTGAGCAGGGTATGATGCCTTCGATGAACAGGTCGATGTCAGTGCCAGATACAGGGTCCATGTGGGACATGCATACCTCAGCTTCACAGCCGTCAGGTATATTCTAGACTGCAACTCGGTCCTGTGTGTGTGTGTGTGTGTGTGTGTGTGTGTGTGTGTGTGTGTGTGTGTGTGCGCGCATGTGCAAATACATATGAATGGATGCTGTACTTAATAATGCTAACATAACCCGATTTTATTTCCATGCAGGCGGTGAAGCCAGTCTTTGGGACATAACAATGAATCCTTCTACTCAGGGTCCAACTCTCGAACAGCTTCAAAAGGTGGGTTGAGTCGTGAGGTTTTCAGCCTTTGAATGCAAATTCATATCTACATCTGCTAGCTTTGTTTTTTTATGTTACGTGTCTTGTGCATATTATCAGTTTTATTGCATCGCATTGTCATCACAGCTGAAAACTTTCAATTTAATGCACTTTTTATTGCGTACTAGAAAAATTGGTAGCAATGCTAGCAGGCACAATAACCTTAATGAAAATGGATTGTGTCAGGAAACCTTTTATTTGCTTATTTTGATCTATTTTAATTTGACTCCCGATGTTTTCCCTTCAGCTCCAGCAGGAGAGGCGAGACGCTGAACTCAGGGCGAAGCGTGAAGAGGAGGAGCAGCGTAAGAGGAGGGAGGAGAAAAGGAGGCAACAGGAGGAGCAGAAGAGGAGGGAGGAGGAGGAGCTCTTTAGACGCAAGCAGGTGAGTTGAAGGAAGGATCTATTTTTGAAAATTGTAATGGCTTTTTCTTTTGTAACAAGAAATGTTTAACCTTTCACGTTACAGGTTTGGCTCATGATAACTGAAATATTCTCGGCACAGTTGTGCTTTGAGTTTATTATGCTGAGGATGGCTTTTCAATGGCTATGGATGCTGTCCACCGAAGTATTGACCCCTCATATCTTCCTGTAGTGTCGCCAGCAGCAGGAACTGATCATGAAGTTGCTGCAGCAGGCCCCCCAGCAGCAGGGTCCTGGGGCAGGCAGCTCAGGCTGGAGCGGGACTCCCTCCTCTGGGCTATCCAAGGCAGGAAAGCCCCCGGCTCTGGCTCTGCTGGAAATGCAGCAGGAGGCAGAGAGGCTCCTGAAGCAGCAGCAGCAGCAGAGAGCCCAGCAGCAGAGAGACCGCGTGAGTTTCTGCAGCTTTAAATTAAATGTTTCAAAGGTTTCATACAGACAGTCTATACCATTAGGAATACAAAAAGAAAATGACATGTCATTTGTCATAATGATGTCTCGATCCATTTCCAGCACTCCGGCATGTCGATGGGGAGCTCCTCCATGGGAGGGCAGTGGGTGGATGGTGTTGGCATGTGGGGCGGAGGTATGGAGGGTAAGGGTGGCAGTGGAAGCTCTTCAGGCAGCATGGGCATGTGGGACGAGGCTGTGAAGAACCAGTCCAGCCTCCGTGGCAACAGCAACAACAACATGGGCTTGAAGAACAGCCGCAGCAGCCCCTCACTCAGGTACATGCGACCACATAAACTAAAATGAATATTACTGCACGCCAAAGATATATTTGATGGCCTGTTAAAAATGCTGCCCCTTTACCTGTGATCCTTTTTTCACACCTACTCAGGCAGATAGCACTGTAGTATGAATTTATATGTGGTGTAGTTGACAAACATAATTAATATGCATTGAATTTATGCATCAAACTGTATGTCCTCTGCAGTGATCAGTACATGATGCGTCGTAAGCGGACTGATGAGGAGGAGAAGCTGCTGAAGCTGCTGCAGGGCATGAAGCCTCAGGACGGCTTCACTACCTGGTGTGAACAGATGCTGCACGCTCTCAACACCTCTGCCAACAACTCCTCCTCCTCTCTGGATGGTAGGCTGCTCGGCTTTAAATTATTTATTTAGCAGTGTCAAGGTTGAGGAAAATTAACCTTAAATTCCGATGGCTGCTTACTACGTGTTAAATCCACTGTGTTTTTATTTTTCATGCACTTAAGAGTAAGTTGATCTCTGCACCTTTCCCACATTTCCAGCACTGCTAATCATTTCAACTGAATGGTTTTTTTTTGTGAAGTTGCCACTATTGTGGCATACCTGAAGGAGGTGGAGTCTCCCTATGCAGTACTGGACTTCATCCGGTCCTACCTAGGGGACACAGTGGAAGCCAAAGAGTTCGCCAAACAGTTTCTGGAGCGACGTGCCAAACAGAAAGCCAACCAACAGAGACAGCAGCAGCAGGTAGGCCTGAGCCAGAAAGGTCTTATTAAAATGAAAACAGCGTATGTCTAAAACAACCTGTTGCATACAGTTATCATTAACTCCCCCAATACACACACTGAACATTTTGAGTGACAGATCTGGGAAATGGTTTCTGTTATACTGACTGTTAATGAAGAGAGAAGACAATAGCATGAGTTTGGACGTTTTATATGAAAGTCAGGGTTGTATAACACCAGGACACTAATAACAGCCTAAAACAGCTGTAAGAGAAGCCTTTGAAGTGTAAATCCCTCCTCTTCTCCTCTTTATCTACCCCAGTTATCAAAGGAGGTGGCTGGACTGAACATGAACTTCCCTCTGCAGGTAAGTCAAGATATGCATTTGTAATGTATGCAGATGGAGTTTAGCCATTTGTGGGAACAGCAGGCATTGTGATTGTGTCTTTTTGTGTCTCCTGCTGCTACAGCAGCCCTCCATGACATTACCCTAATGTAAGCAGTGTAGATTTGATGGGACTTTCAAGGCTTCTTCAAATGTATGTTAACTTATTTGTACACTGGTTGCTGAATATCAAACCTGCGTCGGCAACTTCAAATGTCAAAACAAAAATCCACATTTTGTACATCACTTCTGGGGACAGTCAGTCTGTCCTTGAAAGGATGGACTCTTGTCATTTTGTCACAGCTGATTTAAAAAAAAAAAAAAAAACTACAAACACTTTTTTTCGTGTGGCCATTTAGAATATCTAGACCAGCATTTGTATCATTGACTTCATTTCTCTTTTCTTTGTTTTATAGGACTCAATGCGAGGTATGAATCCAAGCACCCTGCAGTCCATGTTTCAAGCCAGCCACATGGGCAAGGCTGGTCTCTATGACAACCAGGGCGGAAAGATGAAGAAGAAACAGCCCATGATGCTGCACTCTGACCCCAGCATCTTAGGTACGTGACCCCCACCTCCATTTAATATGTCTTCCTTTTGACTTCATTTGTCTGTAAATGGTGAGAATCTATACATAGCCAGCTTTAGATAGCTTGACTGCAGATTAGCGTTGTGAGTAAACAAAACACTTAAGTTATTTAATACACAAAACAAGCCAAAATGGAAAGTGCATTCATCATCTGGAATCAAATGAAGTCTAAGAAACTACATAAGAAGACACGCAGCTCTCTGAAGCAGCAGCAGAAAGCATCACATCTTATTGATGACTTGTTTGCACCCACTCCAGGTGGTGAGTAGGATGTGCTCATAGGGTTGGCTTATGTCTAAAGTTTATTTATGTGCCCATGAGCTGTGTGGAGCCAGGGATGGGATACGGCGCACTCTTGAAGTAGATGTAAACAGGTGGCCAGACAAACGTGGTGTAGGCAAAAATGGATATTGTAATCTGTATAGTTTGGGCCTTATTAGTCTGTTTATATAGAACACAGTGGAGGGTAAAAGGTTGTCCACACACTGATTTGTACAAGCTCTCCAAGATTAGATTGATATAAACCCCTGCTGTTTCTAACACCTGTTTGCCTGATGAAGATTGTGCTGGTTGAAAGAGTGAATCAGTACACACTACACTCATTTAGAGCGATACGAGCTAGCTCCAAGGCTTGGTTTGACAACTATCTGCCTTTTCTACATTTAATTATAAACAGTAGTAAAGGTTATATTTATGGTTTGGTGAGGAGTTTTTGTTTTTTTCATGCATTTACAAATAAGCCTTAACCATTCCAAAACAGAGAGCTCCTCTTATCAAATTATTTCTGGCTTGCATCTTTATCCCTTGCCAGCCCTTCTAACTCCCCCACGTCCCATCCTCCTCTGATCTTACTCTGCTCTCTCCGTCTCTTCTCTGTGCCCTCCTTGCCCCGCCCCCCCCTCCTCCCTGCAGGGTACTCATTCCACAACACGGGCGAGTGTCTGAGCCTGAATGAGATGGAGATGGTGGAGGATTACTGATGTGACGCAGCGCAGCAGCAATAGCTACCTGAGGCCTTCTGTCTTTTAATCAGACAAACCTGATGACGAATGTGCACTGCTGGGGGAACCAGGGGGGTGGGGGATAGGAAGGGAGCAAGCGTGAGGGTAGGTGCAGGGTGGAGGCGCCTGGATCTGCGCCTCCCACTCTTTCCTTCCCTCTGGCAAGAAAAAAAAGGGCTCCCTGCTGCACCAGTTGATCACTTGAGCAGGGGAGAGGGGGGTGAGGAGGGGTGGTGTTAAAAGGAAGATGGGTATCCTCTGGCACTCAAAAGATTAAGCACCTTATACTGAACTAATGCACTTTATTGAGATGGGATTTGAATAGTTTTTTTTTTTTTTTGTTTTGTTTTTTGTGTGTGAATGTGTGTGTGTGTGTGTGTGTTGGGAATCAGTGCGGCATACAGTGTGTGTACAAACACATTACCTGTGTGCATCAGAACTGGAAGGGGGCGGTGAAACAGTCGGTCGGTGGGGTGAATGGTCGGGCTGTTAGGTTTTCAAAGTCAGGGGGACCTTTTAGTTGAAACCTTATCAGAGAGCAAATCCTTTCTCGAAAGACAAACACTGTTGATATTTCTCTTGTTTAGCATTTTTTTTACGTTTATATAAAAAGTAAAGCTATTGAAAAATGGATTATAAAAAAAAACTTGAAGATTTGCACTTGCCTAAAAAAGAAATGACAAAAACAACAAAAAAAAATCAAACAAATGGGGTTAGTTATAGAAGTGAATATTTTTGTGAATGTGTGTGAATGACTGTGAGAGCGCGCGATGGTTGGTTTGTGTCAGTAATATACCAGTCTGCACAATGTTTTTTTTTTTCATTCTTTTGTTGCTTACCAAGATGTATGAAACATAAGAGGCCATTTTTTGTCTTTTTTGTTCAAATGGTAATTTTGTATTCTCATGTTAAGAGAGTGTGTGCGTGTGAGTGTGTGTGTGTCCCTTCTCCAAACGGGGACTTGAATGAATGAGAGAGAGAGAGGGGGCAATTGCACAACATATCCTTTCTCTCACCAGCTCTTCATCCCCAGATAGACGAAATAGAAATGCATACATTTGTAAATGTTAGCTTTGCGCTCATCACATGATGACCACCACTAGTTTATTTCCCTTAGCCTCTCCCAATGGGGAGCTGTCTCTAGGCCTGTGAGGACTAGCAGGCAGGGCGAATCATGAGGGACATTACTGTGTGTGCATCGGAATGAGACTTTGAACGTATGTGTGTGTTTGTGTGTGTGTGTGTGTGTGTGTGTGTTTTCAGTGTGCATGTTCATTTACTGTTCATAGAAATGAGTTAAGACTACAGGTACTCATTTTGAATACATGTGCTTTTTTGTATGTGTATGAATGCACATTTGTGCCTAAGAACTTGGATAGGGTGCGTGGCCATTGAGACATTAACTCTTTTTTGAGAGCGAGTGTGATGTGTGTCAGTGCTCAGCACAGTGTATGTAAAGTATGTAAGTTTATATCGTAAATATTTCTAGTTCATTCTAGGGGTGATCCATCGGAAGGTTAGTCCAGTCTGTTTTTTCCTGGGGTGTGATCACGTTGCCTTTTGTCAGCTCTCGAACTTGTGAATGAAAGGTGTCGAGTTTCTGACTCTGAAAAAAAAAAAAAAAACAGCATCTTAATGTGCAAGTGCACAGAACGGTGCATGAAATGTTAGCATATTGTGTTACTTATTCGTTGTTGCAATTTGATAATGACGAGTTTTTCTTTTTTTAATGAAAAATATATATGAATATATACATTATATACAAAGTTTAAAAAGTATTTGGACTAAGATAATGAGCACTTGGGGCTGCTATTTTTGTTGTGTGTTTTAATTTTTTTTTTTCCTTAATTTTTTTTTCATTTTGTTTCAGTATCGCAATGTGAAGTGTGTGTATTATTTCTTAAGAAAATATTGAATGTATTCCAAAAAAATGACAAGAAACCCGTGCTGATACCAGATTTTTTTTTTTCCTCAGAAGATTTCAAAAATGGAAACAAAATACAAAAAAGCTTCAAAGAGTTTAGCAAGAACTTTTTTTTATTTACACAGTGGAGAAGAAAAAAAAAAACTCGGGATGGATACAGTTGAACACACTGCCTCTACAATCCTGGTCGTACAAGTAGTGACTAAGAATTAAAAGAAAGGACTCTTTCTATTCCATACTGGAGCTTTGGTTGTTTACAAACCACATGGATATCTGTGGGTGCAGTTTTGTTTTTGTTTTTTGTTTAAATTTTTCTTTTTGTTCCCACATAAGACGGGTGGGGTTTGCAAGTGCGCTTCTGCCATATGGACATTGAGTGGTGTTGGTTATTTTTTTTTTAATTTTTTACTTTTTTGAGGAAGAGTGGCAGGCATCACAAGAACACGGACAAGATCCTCTAACTGGACCTTTGCGTGTGGTTGTGGATCCTGAAACGCGATGATCAACCACGGAGCGGAGGCGGGGAAAATCAAGGACGGGCTCTGTTTTGTGGAGAACGGAGTGCAGGGCTGCAGAACCCTAGAGGGAACTGAGAGGGCGATATGAGTACACACTTGTCTTCACCTCAACCCTCATAAGCACTCACACCCTGCCCTCACCAACTCACCTATGCACTTTTGTTCATTCAAGCTGTGAGGTACCATTTTGGGGATGGGAGCACAATTACAACAGGAGGATTGCTACGACTTTGACAAAGTCACTGAAAAGATATTCCCAAACTGAAACAAGAGACTCGAGAAGCATGTCTTCTCCCACCTCCTGTGTATATATATCCATATTTTTGTATTATCTTTCAGAGTAGAAAGAAAAATTTGCAAACGGATGAAGGAAAATTCATGAGACGTTGATTATATGGAGTGAATGTTCTTCAAGGAAACCAATCTTTTTGAATATAGTTTGAGATAGACTCGCTGTGAGATTCCCTTAGTTTGCCAGTAGCCCTGAAATAATCAGGGATGGAGGGGGGGAGAAAAAAAAACATGGACTGAGGTGTTGGACATGCTACAGTGGCTCCAAGACTGACTGATAGTTACTTATCAAAAATGGATGCTGCCGTCGCTACAAAGAGCCCAGCCAAGAGTGTTTGATCAACATGCACAGTAACGAGGCAGACGTGGGTTTGAAGAGCTGTTGGCAAGGATGCTTCCATTTCATCTCCCAACCCGATGACTGCCTTGAGAGCTGAAGAGTGACTGCAGGAGGAGAAATTGTTGGCAATGGTGAGATATTCTTGCTTAATTTCCTCTTGGCGCTGTATACTAATGACTTAATTTGATCCATTGACTTCAGGTTAATCTTGTGGCCCTGTTTCTAACAGAATAGTTTGGTGACGATGGGCTTGTGCTCTTTCTGTCTCCTCACAGGAGTCTGGCTGTGCTTTATTTGCTGCCCTCTGCAAGGAGGATTTAATCTACAGCCAACCCATGAACCAGTTAACCCTAAACCTGTCCCTCGAACTTAAACCCTAAGAAACTTTTTTTCTGTCTTGACCTCGGACCGGGCAGGCCATTGGCATTATCAGTTGGACAGTTACCAGATGAAGTTACAGGTTTATCGACCATGGATCCCATCTGTGTTGGAAGTGCTAGGTTGGGGATTTGATCAGGCGCTCCCCGGCGAGGAAGAGGACGAAGAGGCACGAATCGCCCAGATGTCATCACCCACCTCAGCCTGAGACTCTCAGGTGGTTGCGTGGAGGTCTTCTAACCAGCGGGACAGAAGACCTGCCCTCCTGCCCAGACGTCAGAGACTGAGAGCTGGACTGGGTTTCGATGGACGTGGCTGGATTACATCTGAGTCACCAGAAATCCCTGCAGCTGCGGAACTGGATGAACTGAAAGAATTGTACAAAAAAAAAACCAACAAGACTTTGAAACATGACAAAACACAAACGCGTAGCTACATGTCACATAGATTCTAGAGTTCAAAAGAGTTGCAGACACTACATGCGCACCTACAGCGAAAGCAACACACTCAGTTACATCGTCTGCACACATGATAGGGCTGCATCAATACAAACCACACAGATACAGACACACACAAGCATCATCGCTCATCAATATAAACGCTGAGCTCTGTAAATAATGTAAAAGTTTGTGTTTTGATTTTTCTCATAGTGGTTTTGCTTTATTTCTCTGTTCAACATGCCTTAAATTGTATAGTTAAGTCCTCAATGGCTAACTGATTTTTTTTGTTGTCCAAATGATGAATTTAAGTTGGAAACCACCTCCTTAACTGTCCTCTAAAGTCAAAGAAAGAAAGGAGCTTTCTACAAGACTGTTTACCGTTGGCCAACAGGACTGTCTGTTCTGTATTAATTTGATACATGTATGTCTGATCACCATGGAAGTTACTATTTAGCTACAGAGTAGAGCAGAAAGCAGTCTTTGATTAATCTGATTTTGCTGGTGGTTAGCTTTTGTTGCCCTTTTGGTTTCCTTAAAATGAAGAGTGGATTTGTTCAGATTTCCTGTTTAGATTATCGCTGAAGGTGCAGGCTTAATAAAGGGCTGTAGTCTGTACTGTCTGGAGCTGAGCTGATGGGGTGGGATGCACAGGATTGGCTTAAAACACAGATTTGTTGCTGTGTGGTAACTATTGTTGGATGTACTGCTCCTGGCGAAACTGAACCAGAATGACAGGTCCTCAAATTTCAATACAAGCTGGGGCTTTTTGGTTATTTTTTTAACACTCCGGGAGGCTTACATGTATTGGAGGCAACTAGGTGCTTTTTAGAGTTTTGAAATTTCAAGTCAAGCTTGTGTTAGGAGTGTGGTTGTAAGAGCAAACTTGCATTATTTGTAGTAGTTGTGGGGTTTGACACTAATCCTTGAGGTGGGTCACAGCTTGGCCCACATTGCCTTGCTTTTGTCTGTGCAGTGTTTAGTGCTGCTCACGATCCCTGATGGCACTGAATAGATAGGGAATTAACTGGTCAGTTGTGTGTTGTCTGAAAGGAAATTCTATGTCCTGAACATTTGGAGTGTCTTGTTCCATTTTGTATATCTAATTGGATTTGAGAGATTAATGCTTTTAGTCAGCCAGTTGTTTTCTTGTGTCCTTGATAACTAAACAAAATGCAGTTTTTAATCCAAATGGCAACTGATCGTCATCGAATACCTTCAGCTTAGACTTGAATTCACTTGTACATTTGTTAAGCTGAGGCTGTGTACACTTGGGTAGCCACAGTAGGTATGTCATAACTGTTGATACTAAATGGTTACGAAATTTAATGTTGTAATCAGTTGCCAAAACAAAGAAATTGACTTTAATCATATGAGTGTACGATCAAGTCTCTTATTCGTGAATGACTTAAAAAATACCTTTGAGATTTTTAAAAGCTGATACTGTGTGGCATTAGTTGTTGGTCAATCTGTCTGTCTTAAAAAGTAAAACGGAAATTGTTTGCAGTTTATTGTACTGCACTACACGTGCTTTTATGGTTAGATTAACTGCCATATTGTGTTGTCAAAAAGCCCCGGTTGTTTGGTTGCAGCCTCTGAAAAGATCATGTCACGGCCTGTCCGCTCAAGTGTAAGAAGTTGATTGTCTGGTTTATTTTAGCTTTGGTAACTGTAGTTCCAACAATGTTGTAGTTATAAAAGATACAATGAGAGTTTTATCCCAGTCAGCTCAGCTCCTTTGCTTAATAAGTTTGAATGTTGTTGAAATAACAGCATACATGTAATGAAACTGTTTTGGAAAAGAACAACTGAACGATGTGTAAATAGTTTGGCTTTTGTTTGTTTGAAGAACAAAATAAATAATAAATAGCATTTAGCAGTGACTGACTCAGTATATTTTTAATTGATTTTTATTTTGTCCAAAGTGTGTGTGTGTGTGTGTGTGTGTGTGTGTGAGAGAGAGTGAGAGTGTGAGAGAGAGTGAGAGAGAGAGAGAGAGAGAGAGAGAGAGAGACTATCAGCCATCCTCGAGAGTGTCTCCGTCATCAACGCAACTCTCGCGATACTTTGAAACACATGGCCGCCCACAGTGTTTACAACTTCTCGCAATGAAGTGGTGACTAAAAACGCAAAGTCTCGAAGTAGAAGGACACCGAGTCATTTTGAGTATTATTCGTATTCTTCGGCTGTAATTGAAACTTTGACGGCATCGAGGAGAAAAGTGTTTCCAGCCAAACTGCGAGCAGAACCAAAGGCCAGGCAAGCCACAACACAGGTAGGTAGCATCAGAGTGCTAGCGGAGGCTAATGCTAACATGAGCTAACGTGAGGTGGTTACCGTCTCTGTCGTGGACTGAGGGTTAAAGGAAATTTAAACACGTTTGCCTTATTTGCTAGCGTTATTCAAGATATGTGAGGACAGCAGAGCGTTCGTGGAGTTAAACTTGTAAGGGGTTGTGAGGTAACTCGTACCTCGCAAGCGTAAACTTAGCAATTTGAACATTAATGCTAGTTTGGAGTGGTTGACACCGTCACGACTAGCCACAGGTGTCTGTAGGGTGTTTGCACCAGCAGTTTAGAGTCAATTATTTATTCCTTTAAACAAGTTTACGTTTACTTCACGAAATCGACGGATGTGTTTTGTCTTTTGTGCTGATGTATTTTTGCATTGTTTGACTTGTGTTTTCCATCTTGTATTATTGGCCTCACCTGCACTGCCCCCCTTGTCTTCATGGTTGGCCTGTCTCACTGTTTTTTAGGCTACTGGGTGCTGTGATGTCCTCGACCCTCAGCAGACTCAAACACCCACACTGCAGGAAGAAGCACTATCCTAGTAGCACGTACCTCACCCACGTCTGACAGCCAACCACTGGACACAAATCACTTTGACGCCAGGTAGAAGACTTGACAGGAGAGAATAATAAACAAAAGAGAGATGTCTGATTCAGCTGGAAGTGGTGAAAGCGGTGGTGTGGCAGGCGCAGGGCAGGACGCAGAAGCGGATAATGAGCCCCCTCATCAGGCACCGCCTTTGCCTGAGGGTAACAGCTCAGAGGTAGTTGAGACCTCAGAGGAAGGGGAATCTCCGTCTGCCAAGCGGCCCAGAATAAGTGAGGAGGGAGAGCAGGAGCAGGCTGCAAAGCTGGTTGAGATGCATGGAGAAACACCAGCACAGTCTGACTTGCTGCAGGAAGACCCAGCCACACCAGCACAAAGTAGAGTATCTGCAGCTGCATGTATCAAATTAAAGATAAGAAAATGGGATAAAATAAATTCATTTAAATAAATTAAGATCTTGGAGATTATGATACAGGATTAGTTTAATTAATAATAAAACAAGCTGTACTAATGTATTCTGTGATACTGGGAACAGGAGAACCACTACAATGTGAGGAGGAACATCAAGCAGGGGAAGAGGTGCCTGTCAGCGGGGGAGGTGAAGAAGAATGCCATCAGAATGGAGATGGTGGACATGAGGCACCCTTAGAAGAAGAAGAGGAGGCGAAACCAGAGGAGGAGCACAATGGTAACGGGTCTGCAGACAGCCCCAGTGAGGGACAGCGGTAAGTGGAGGAAGAGGTCAAGTTTATTTTTAACCTGTGTTTCCACACGACTCGGGGCAAAGACACAGCAGACACACCATCAAGTGAGCTATTTCAAGCAGGAATTTGTGGAGGGCGGCAGTGTTATGTAATGATTATGAAGATGTATGATGTTTCAGAAATGGAGAGAGGCAGTTTTGAGTCTGTACTGAAGAACAAGAGGTTTTGGTCATTTCAAGATGGCCAATAAATGCCTTGAAAACCATTATTATTTGTAAAGCTTTACAAACATGTAAATTGCTGTACTTCTTTATCATACGCTTTGCTGGGCTGATTGTGCGGTCACTACCAAAAACATGCGTTACTTATTTTTTCCCACCTGTTTGTATATAAATCAAATGTGTGGCACTGGTGAATCATCTTAAAAATACTCCCAGTTATTTTTAGCAGCAGTAACTGACTATTACTGCGTGATGTAGCCTCTGTTCACCAGGCACACTACTACTCTTCAGTGCATGCAGCAACACCCATGTGATTTTATAATTAGATAGATGAGATAAATTGTGAGATGTATTTGCTAAGTATTAATAAGTAAGACAGCCCATGCACCATAATCTAATGCAATGGTTCCCAGCGTTTTCTGTAAGGGACCCCTTTTCTATGGTCTCTAATAGGTAAATTGAAAACCCCTGACTAAGTGGCAGATTTTATGGATATTTCATAATATATTCAATACATACCAACAGTACAGAACAACTGAAACTGTACAATTAACCCAAATGGTGAACGCAATAATAGCCTCAAGTTTATAAGTGATTTCAATGAATTTTGAGCAGATCAGAGACGAGTTTTCCTGATGTTTTTAGGAACTTTTTACACAATTCTCTGTATTATGTTCTCTTTTTAGAATTGTACATACATAATAAGCTTCTTTTTTTTGACAAGTTTAGTGTTTGCTTCTTCCTGACGCTTGGCCATTGTTTTATTAGCTCTTTGGTTGTTTTAAGTGGATATTTTTCCAATGCAGAATGAGGCTGCATAGCAGAGAGTGGGGCCTCTGTGAATGCAGCTTGTGTTCAGGTCTTCATTGTGCCTTTATACTGTGAGATGCATTTTAAATTTACATCTTGAAACTTAAAAAAAAAATAATACTTTCAGTAGGGGTCGGGACCCCCAGATTGGGAACCAGTGATCTTATTTGTAAAAAAAAAAAAACATGTAGTAAATGTCTCCAGCCTGGCATCTTTAGGTGGCAGTTGTGTACTTCACTTAGTAGGCTATTCATATGTCACAAGTCAGGTTTAAAAAAAAAAGCAAAGATAATAGTTTCACTGAGATTGATGCAATCAACCATGTCTATGATAATTAGGACAGTTGTGCTGCCGTGGGCCCTAAAACAAGTAAAACATGAAAACAACACTGTCAATCTAAATCAGCCAGACCCTGTATTTAGTTTCCACAGGCAAAGAAGGGGATTGTTATGAAGTGAGCATGGAACTTGTTGTTATACAAATTTTATGGTAATTACACAGTTGCAGCCATTTGAAAATGTGTAATTGCCTTTTAGTGTTAGCTGTTGCTCTGCTTCATCTGTACGTTTTATCATCACACTGATTTTGAAGTGAGGCAGCAAAATACACCACAGCATTAACTGATTAAATATTTAACACTGTCAATCATCACAGTGGCAACATTTGGAGAGGATGACACGAGATGAAAAATAATGGACTTAACCTGTAGAGCCATGAAATGTAATTAACAATTCGCTCCACTGTGTGGTGACACTGCGTCTAAATTTTCCTGGTGGGCTTTGTGGAAGTCGACACAATGGTTTATATACAGTGGCGTTGTTGTCCCAGTTAGGAAATTCACTGCATAAATCAAACAAATTCTAAGCAGGACTAAAATTCATATGTCAGGTTTGTGGTTGCATTATGCATAAGATGGGGAACACTGTCTTTCACTTCGCAATGTGATGTTTTGATTCCTCTTTTAAACTCATTAACTGAATATTTGCCCTTCTCTCTTTCGTGTGCCCAGCCTTGGCCTAGATTTTACCCAGAATCCCCAGATGCTGACTGGTTCCTGGACTGAGTACTCCAGCCTTCCAGAGAATTACCTCAAAGGCTGCAAATGGTAATCTCTTCTAGAGTTAACATAACACATAATACACCATGTGCACGAGGTTTTGAAGATGCTAAGTATAAAACCCTTAAATCATTACTGAATTTGTGAGTCATCATTTTTATAATAACCATAAAAATAACACCATTACATTTGTACATTTTGTGCTCATGTGCAGCTGTCAGGGACAGATATTGATGTCCTGGAATACTGAGAAAATGATATTCTTTCAGTCCAAATGAAGCGAGGAAAATGACTTTCACCCTGTTTGTCATTCCCAGGCCAGTGTAGGAACATTAGTTCAGACATTGCATTTGGTGTAAGTGAGTGAACAGTTTCTTTAATGTAAACTGCCTGTATGCTATAGATGTATACAATAGCGTAAAAGCAATCTGTGTACATGCTGTTCTCAGATTACTGCTGGTAATACACCACCATCTTTTTCTTATCCTGCCTCCTGTTCTAAACCAGGGCCCCCGATGGTTCCTGTATCCTGACCAACAGTGCAGACAATGTGCTCCGTGTGTACAACCTCCCTCCAGAGATTTACAGCTACAACTGGGACTTGCTTCCCGAGATGGTGAGCATACACATAGCTTACCGTCAGGGGTTCCCAAAGTGTTTGTATAGAGGATAGAAAAAGTAGCTGACCAAAGGAGTGTTTGCAAGTTACTGAAAACCTTAGATTTTTGTTATCAATCAATCAATTTTATTTATAAAGCCCAATATCACAAATCACAATTTGCCTCATAGGGGTTTACAGCATACGACATCTCTCTGTCCTTAGGACCCTCACAGCGGATAAAGAAAAACTCCCCCCAAAAAAAACCCTTTAATGGGAAAAAAAACAGTAGAAACCTCAGGAACAGCAACTGAGGAGGGATCCCTCTTCCAGGACGGACAGATGTGCAATAGATGTAGAACAGAACAGATCAACATAATAAATTAACAGTAATCCGTATGACACAATGAGACAGAGAGAGAGAGAGAGAGAGAGAGATGCAGGACAGACGGTAATGACAGTAGCTTACAACAACATTAATGAAAGTAATAATATTATAATTATGATTCTAGCTATTGTGGTGCAATATGTTGAAAGTATATATTAATATCTGATAGTATACATATGTGACAATAATCATATGTGTATAATAACAGTAGAAGTATGACTAATGATAAAAGCAGCAGCAGGAGGCATCTGGCAGGACCACAGCAGCA